ACACTCGACCAAATAAACCCAGCTTCTTAACGAAGCCGATTAGTTTGTACGGTGAGTGGTCTTTCAGGTCAGATGGTAAGAGTACGGCTCTGCCGAACTCTAAAAACTTGATTCGGTCCCCAGCGGGGCAGGTACAAAGTATGTGCTCTGCTGTTTCATCATTTCTCAAACAGGGGCGACACACACTGTTTTCCGACAGTCCAAGTCTCTGTATATGATGATTCAAATGACAGTGACTTGTAAGAAGGCCTGTTAGACATCGTAGTTCATCCCTACTGTAGTCCAACAACTATTTGGTACAAAGTTTCGAAGGGTGAATAAACGCCTCGGAGTGAGCCAATCCTGGAAGGTTCTGCCAGAAGCCTATAAATCTTCTTGCCATCCAGATGTTCATTCTTTTTTTATCGAAGCCTAAAGCGATTCCAATGACAGGTTCTGGTAGCTGCTTGCAGCACCCTCCCTTGCAAGGGAGTCTGCAGCCTGCCTCATTGCCTTCCAGGCCAGTATGACCTGGAATACAGACCAGTCATGGAGTTATTTCAATCGATTATCCTTGAAGAGGAAAAACCAATACAGGAGCAAACCACGCATCATTACTTGACAAATTGAAGGCAGAACTTGCGGAAAACGGCCACATTTGCAGAAAAAGGAAACCTTCTTTCATCGAGACAACCCATCATCTCACACCTCACTGGTTGTCATGACAAAAAACCAGAAATAACAATTTGAACTGCTTGACCATCCACCTCACTCACCAGATCTAGACCCAAGCGACTTCTTTTTGTTCTCTCATCAAAAAATTGCACTCGGAGGACAGAGATTTGCATCAAATTGAGAGGCAATCACAATCGTGAACAATTCTTTTGCAGGGAGAAACGTCGAGTACTATTTCGACGAGTTACCGAGACGGGAGCATCGCTTGGAGAAGTGTGTAGAGGAGACTATGTTGAAAAATAAAAATAAAAAATTTGACTACCCTTGTATGACTACCCTTGTATGATGGTGTTGCTGGTAAATGAATCAGATGGTAACTCGTCAAAAACCATATACAAAGAATAAAATAGTTTTTGAGATAAGTAAACAACTGACAAATAGCTGAATAATAGTGAAGAATCTTGCACTGACACCTGTCGGATATAATCCAACGCTCTTTGCGGTGGTAGCCAAGGGAGTTGTTGTTTTCTGATGGGTGTCAGTCCACAAACCTACTGTGTTGGTGAGGAAATACTGGCCTGAACCAATTGTTCCTTTGAATAAGTGTGTTTAACTCGATTAGGAATATTCGGTTGTTGGAGTTATAATTTTCAGAGATTATTTTCCTCGGAAATAAACCCCTTTTTCGCACATACCTACATAGTTTCCAGAATTAGCGAAAGCAACGCTCATGACCCAAGCCGATCTGAGCGGTATGATTTGCATTTTGTTTCCCGTATAAGTATCCCAAATGATTAGTTTTCCATCTAGAGATCCAGTCACGCAGTGCCTGTTGTCTCCGCTGTAATGGACGGAGTTTACCTTATTCAAGTGACCTTTCATCAACTTTCGAGTGATAAGTTTCACTCTTGGAGCTGGTGAAACTCCTTCGCAAGCCTTTTCGAGGGTGGTGTCTTCAAGTTTCTTCTGGTCATCCTGAAAAAAGGAAGAGGTGGAAGTTTAACAATTCAAAAACGAGTTATGAAAATTTGCTGCCGAATTGGTCTTGTAGTTGAACGGATGCTTGCTCAAAGACGTTTTGGTGACACTGTAATCGTGAATAAATTTCTTCACTAAATATTTAACAAGGAAGAATTCATACTACTGCGGTTCATTCACTAAGACTCCCAGTTTGAAAGTCCTTGAATTTTTCAGGATGAGCACTCAAGGTTTATGATTTCGTTTCAAATGACCCCTTTTACAAAAATTCGTTCAAAAAATCAATAGTAGGATCCAGCGGCCACAAAAACATACCAAATATGTTAAAAGTGTTGTTTTTTATGAACCTTTTCTTGTAAAATATAGGAAGTTTCCAAAGTTCCTCTGTGTAAAGGGATGGAGGATAGTGTGATTGTTTATAAATTCAAACCTTCGAGAAAAATCATTGATTATCCAGGATTTGTTGACATACTTGAAATTATATACTTCCTGGTGCGATTAAATACCTACCATAGAGACCATAATGGAGTGATAATGAAACTAATAGAAGGAGCTCAATCTTTAGGACTTTTCCTTCAACAGAAATGTTATTTTCACCACTGAGCCAAATATATGGCGTTTGATAAAACATACAATCAAAAAGAATAATGTCAATAATCAACTTTCGAAATTATACAGTTTCTCAGCCTACTATGAAGGCAAACAAAATCAAAAAGTCGAAGCATTTCATTATTCAACATACGATCGATCGAATACGTTTATTTTCTCTTAATGTTGGTAAGTTAGTATTACATGTATTTTATGTGGTGCCCTGCTTAGGCTGGTGCCTCTTCAGGGACTATGTTATTTTTTTGTTTTTATGTGTAGCTTAATCTAGTCCTTGGTGTTGGGTGTTTATGTATGGTTACATTGCTTTTGTCCTGTGTTGGTTGGATTAGTGGATTCCTTGGGCATTGCTGTTTTTGTGTATGGGTTGGGTTATCCTTGGTGAGGTTGTACGGGTATAGTTGCAGGTGGTTTGTTGTTGCTTCATCATCTGATGAGTTCTGGTGGATAGATAGAACTATTTATTCCTGGTATCCCCCTCTGGCAGCGGGAACTCTTCAAGGATGTCCTGGAACCGCTTCGAGATATCCTCCAGAGCTTCTAGGAGCCTGGCAGGGGAAAATTGGAGCTTTTTCCTGGGGATCCTCCTTGGCCAGTGTCTCAATTGCAGTGGTGTTGCTGCTTCTGATTGTTCTGGTGATGTATTTGCCTCTGAGTTCCTGAAATCTGGTAGACTTTGCCTTGTTGTTTCAGAGGTTCTGGACGGTTGGCAGCAGTGGTTAGGCTCTGCTACCTCTATCAGATGAGTGTGATCCTTGGAATCAGGGACTGGTCTCGCAATGAGGTTTTATGAAGTAATCCTTTTGGCTTAGGCTGTGCACTATTCACCTCACTTCCACTGTGGTTACTCAAGTCAGCACTATACCAATGCTGGTACAAGAATGTAATCAACATACTCTCCTCTTCATTAGATACGAGGGTGGTCTAAAAAGTTTCCGAAGTGAACATGAAGATAGTAACAATCATAAATGAAAGCTATCGAATTTCGTTGTTCATCTTTTGACAGTTACTCACTAAGGTTTCAGCCATTTTGGACGCGCAGATGTTACGTAACAGTCGTGCGAGTGAGTTGATGTGAGTGTTTGTATGAAAATGGACCAAATCGAATATCGAGCAGTCATTAAATATTTGTTTTTGAAAAACAATACCACTACGCAAATCAAATATGAGTTGGATTCTCTGTATGAGCAGCTGAATTCAAACGTGACCGTAAGAGCTTGGGAGACGATGAAGTTCGTGACGTCCAAAAATTGCAACTGCTGATGGTGCTAGACGACCGTGGAATTGAAGTTAGAGAGATAGCAGAGGTTATGAACATGTCAAAATAACATGTTTGTCACATATTGAATCAACATTTAGGCATGAAAAAGCTGTCCGTGGATAATATTATACGCCCGGAACAAAAATACAGGCCCAACAGCGGACTACAAAGGAGGAACCGGCTCCAAGAATAGTAAACTTGCTGGCAAAGTGATGGAGACTACTTTTATGATAGATTAGGTTAGATTATGTCCAAAGTGAGCGAGTCTGTTCGACCATCCACCCATTCACACTCGACCAAATAAACCCAGCTTCTTAACGAAGCCGATTAGTTTGTACGGTGAGTGGTCTTTCAGGTCAGATGGTAAGAGTACGGCTCTGCCGTGACTACCCTTGTATGATGGTGTTGCTGGTAAATGAATCAGATGGTAACTCGTCAAAAACCATATACAAAGAATGTCCTACCCATAAAAAAATTCACAGTTACAGACACAATTCTGGAGTGATCCAAAGACAGGAATATTTTGAAGACGTCAAGTCAAAGAAAAATCCCAATTCTATTATCCTCAATGAACAACTTAATCCTCTCCTGAACCTATAACCCAGTTCCCATAACCAACATTTTATAAAAAAAAAGGTTATGTTCATCGACATTATTATTATTCATTGACATTAACCAAGGTATAGACAATGTAGGTATCAAATTGTTTATGATAGGTATAGGCAGATTTGAATGTGACCTAGTTATTTTTGAAAATGGTGTAATGACCAAAACTAGTCAACAAATATAAAACTATTGTGAAAAATAGACGAAAGTGTGTTTTTATAGTTATTCCTCAGTGTGTCTATGAGAGATTCTCCAAATTTCAAAAAGGATCAATGCGACATAAACTATTATTTGACATGATTCAGAAGACTTAACGAAAAATATAAAAGCAGCCGGCGACCCCTTAGACTATGTGAATATTGAAGTTACGAAAACCTTTATATTATATGATAGAAATATTACCGAACTGCATGATTTTCCATTAAAAATAAAAACTCCACAGGCTCAGATGAAATCTCTATAAAGAATACGATAAGAATACTTGATATATTAGTCGGTCTAATAAATAATTAATTCAGAGAAGGAATCTTTCCAGTTTTTTTGAAGATGTCGATTGTGTTAGCACTGCCAAAGGGAGAAGTCATCAATGGCCATCAAGTCTTTGTCCAATTTCTCTAATCTCTGCAATGGCTAAATTGATAGAAATATTAGTCAAAACAAGACTCCTTTGCTTTCTGAATGAAAACAAAATAAGTGATTGCCAGTTTGGTTTTCAAAAGCAAAAAAATACTTCCGCTGCCATATTTTCATTTCTTTACAATGTTTATTCCAACATAAATGACAAAGAAACACTGGCTGCGGTCTTCTGTGATATAGCCAAAGCATTTGATTGCGTGAATCATGAAATTCTTTTGCGGAAACTCAGTAGATATGGTATAACTGGAATAAGTCTTAAGTGGTTTGAGTGATGTTAGCAGATCGCACCCAGATGGTCAAAACCACTTCATACTCAAATGAAGGTGAAATTACTTGTGCCGTCCCACAAGGTTCGGTACTGGGCCTACTTTTACTCTTAATTTACATTAATGACCTATCGTCTATCAACATCCAAGGAAAATTTACTTCATTTGCTGATGATACTACAATTTTATGGCATGCTCTTAACAACCATACGTTGTATGAAGTTATTGAGAATGCCATCACGAAAGTGAAAGACCGGTTTGACTCAAATCTCTTGATCTTGAATTTATCAAAAACGAAAGTAGTGTCCTATCGTTGCCAGATTCCAGCCGTACATCTAAATAATATTCAAATTGACAACGTACCAACTTTTAAGTTCCTTGGCTTATTCATTGACAATAATTTAAAATTCAACAAACATGTAGATACTTTGAAATCGAAGTTCTCCTCTGGATGTTATGCAATACGAGTGACTGCATTTGATCTCGGGTCTGCAGAAGCTAGAATAGTTTATTATTTCCTTTTTGAATCCCATCTTCGTTATGGTATTTGCTTTTGGGGTGTGTGTTCTACCACATGCCTTCAATTAGTATTACTGATACAAAAACGTGCAATACGATGCATATGCAAAGCCAAGCCTAGGGATTCTTGTCGGCCTCTTTTTGCCTCTAACAGAATCCTAACTGTGGTCTCCTTATTTATATACACAATCTGCCTTCTCTTCAAAAATAGGGTATTGTTTAACAACTTGGACGAGCCAATGTATCAAACCAGGCAAAGATTCAGCTTTAAATTACCGCTGCCTTCTTCGACCCTAGTTGAAGATTCCATTATTTAGAACGGTCTCAAAATGTTCAGTCACCTTCTTTAAGCTATAAGAACCATAAATGACCTTAGAGCTCTTAAGAGAGAGTTGAAACACTTCCTTTCTGTGAGACCTCATTAGCTTAGCAGAATTCTATGATGATAATTTCAATTGAGAAGACTAACTGTAATATCTACGGTATTTTATACCGTAGATATTACCGTAGATTCAATTTAGTTTAAATTGACCACGTTCTTATATCCTGAAATTTTGTATTAGGTTATTATTATTTACATGTCTCTTTTCAGTTCATGTTATCACTCACTTTTAGTGATTTTACTTTTGTGATTTAATGTATTTGTTATTTATATTTCGAACAAGGCTTTGCCAATAAGAATTTATTCTTCAGACAATAAAGTATATTTGAATTGAATTGAACCTCTGATTGATCATCGATAACATAAACTATATTAATGATTATTCAATATCTCCAGTTCAGAATGTTAAAAGAAGAAAACTTAATCAAATACTCACGTATTCAAAAGATTTAACAGACCATATTAATAGAGAGAGAGACAGTTTTTCAGAGACATAAATGACATTTTGAGGTCTATTTTTTTGCAGAAATTAGGAATTCCCATCTGAAAAGTTTGGGATGTTCTATTCATTATCGAACGTGTCGCTATCGAATTTTTGAAGTCTAGGTAGGTACTTTCTTTTTATGATTAAAAATTAAATTTTGCTTTAACTCAAGTTATTTTATGTGAAATGGTGAACAATGAACATGAAGGTCTTCGAGGAAAGTAAAAGACTGTTTTAGTATGTTTATTCGAAAAGGTAATACTTTTTGAAAATAACCTAGGCTGTGAAATTTTCATTGTTTTTGTATCGATTTTTTCATACCACACCCAAACACAGAGTCACTTGCTTATAAATTCTCTTATATTACTGAACTATTACAAACCTGTAATTTCTTATAAAGCTCCTCCAGTTCCTTCTTCAGGGCTAGCGTTTCTGGATCGTTTTTAGGCGGCATTTTTCAGTATTTCTACCTGAAAATCACAGACCGAACCTGAAGCTTCAAGTTACATCGCTGACTGAAACACACGGGAGGTAATCTATTTAGTTCTAATTTAATAAGCCACTCAAACATAAAGAGTCCTTAGGAGTGCATGTTTTAACCCAATTTATTAGATATCGATTCTTGGAATTGGAAAATTTGATTGCCGTTTACAGTATATTAGAACAGGCGGTTCTTGGTGAGAGCAGCAGTAAAACCATCTAATTTTAGGTTTTCTAACAATGGAGGACTAATAGCCACAAACTGAAAAAATCGAATTATAATGTCTCTATTATACATAAATATACGAGTATGACAAAATAAAAGTTTGTGTCAATGTGTTAAAGCTAATCATAATATGGAGAGCCATTGCGCTTCTCTGGATACACGAAATTCGCCATTTTTGGCTCATTGTTGATTACCTATATACAAAGTATGCAAATTATTTCTAAGCAACCTGAAAAACAGCAAGAGAAAAAAAGGCGGGGATTTCCAAATAAGCTGTGGTAATTGCAACACAAAGTATGTTGGTCAAACTATACGACCCATGATAACGTGTTTCAAAGAACATATTTCCCATTTTCGGTTTCGAAGACGGGTATAGTGTCACTCAACATGCCTCAGAACGGCCATAGAATAAATGAGAAATTTTTGAAATTGTTCAGTATATGCTTTAACCTTTTGCAAGATTGTAATCAAAAGAATGTGGAATGTGATCTATGACCATGGACAAAGGTCCAGTTATGAACAGTCAGCTGATTACTCTTTCGGGTAATAAATAAAAACCTGTCATATTTCATGTACTTATTATAAAACAGCCTTGAAAAATAAATGATTTGGTCTACAAAACTAATAATAATTTGAGGAAATTCAACAGATACAACAAAGACAAAACTTCAATGTTGGATAGTTTGACAGTAATGGGTTGTTTCAAAAGTTTTGTCCGTTATACTGATCGATGAAGAATTTTGTACAACGGTAATGCTGTTAATTTTTTTCCAAATTTGAATTTTTGTCTCTTTTCAACAATCGCCAACTTCTTGTTGACAAAGAGTTACGATTTTATGATAACAATGAATTGTGTTTGGAAAAGAAAGACTGAAAACGTCTTATGGAGGGCTTAGAAATCAATAGTTTCAAATGTTTAGAACGATTGCAAATATATTTGAAATATTTCTTTTTCTTGAAATCGTTTTGTAATAATGAAATTAGCAATTAGGGTAGGTAATATGAGGTCTCAGGTAGTTTTGTAATTTTATATCCAGTTTGATGGGTTTGTGCCTATACTACGAACATCTAAGCTACGAAATGCTCTAAAACATTATCATGCATAGTGCACGTGATTTCCCAGACAAGGCTGCTTGTACAGAGACGCACTAAGGATCGACCGTTTTTTTTTCTATTAATATGCGACTAGGTATTGAAAAATTTTTATAGGTGAAGTGTAGGGACACAAATTAGCAGTTTCAGACGTATCAGTACTTAACGTTGAAATAAAACTCACCCCTCTGACTCTGTAACCATATACCTCTATGAATTCCGCCAGCCGATTGCAGTTAATGCTGATTGGCCAGCGTAAGAAGGCTTGTTTATTTTACACAGTAGATGCAAGTGTGCGTGGTGACCATGCTTTGATCACACATCTATCATTTTTTGAGTTACTTTGTTTGTGAGAAGGACAGAGTTCAGAATGGTAAGATTTGTTAGGTACAAATTTGTCAGTGAGTGACAGTCATTATAAGATTCAAATTACTATATTTGATATATAGCAGGATACATGAATTGTTGGTTAGTACTGGCGACGCCTGAATAAGCTATTATACAGCGAAACATCTCACAATAAAGTGTCATTTGAATACGAAAATGATAATGTTGAAAATTTACTACGACAGCTACGACAAATCGCCCATTTGTGTCATTTTTATTGGCTCTTCCTGGATGAAAATATATAGATATGATATGATATGATATTGAATAGAGAATAAAAATAAATCGATTATTTTTGTGTATAATATGAAATGTGATAGATGGAGTAAATATTAAAAAACAAGTAGGAATATAAGAAACTATCAGTTACTACTGCTTGGCCGAAATCTTATTCGAAAAACTAATTTTTTCGGATTTGTAATATCTAGCTCATTATAGTACTTATAGAGTTGAGTTCTTTCTTTTCTGGTAGAGGAGAAACTTTTAGTTTTCAGGCAGCTATCGTGAAGAAAATCATTATTGAATATAAGTTATTTGGGAAATGGAAAACTCACCGTTATGATTTCAATCATCCGCTTTGTTTCCACCAGTCACTATGCCTTGTGATTACTTTGTTATTGAATGTTTTCACATCATATCAGGCAGGTATGAGCTGTTCCATTTCCTAGTTGAAATAATTGGCACCAAAATAGTTCAATTTTAATTGCCTACGATACTTATATGAAACATTATAGTGTTATCAAGAGTACTGGGTAGGATAATGTGCGGATCTGCTAGGCCTCGTCATTCGTTCTTGTCACAAGCATCAAATTTGCAGGATATGTATATTCACGGCAACTACCTAAGAATGTGCATGTGATTTATGGTAAATAACGAGAGCTACCTGTAATTATTACTTGAGAGAGTAAACGATAGGCGGTTTGGAGTAGTATCTTTGTCACTGTCATTTCAAAATTTTGAAAGGCATCTAAAAGCATGGCAACAGGCTTCAAGATGGATCCGCTCATACTCCTGGATATTTTATAGCTAGCCAGTTTTCTCAAAGACCATTCCTTATGAGTAGCCATTGGTGATTTTCTCTTGGTGTACCCCAAGGGCCCATACTATCTTCAGAAATCAACGACCTACTGAAAAAACCAGATATCCGAAATATTATTGGGCTGAAAACAGCAGTGGCCATGCATGACAAAGATTTTCATTTTATCATACGACCATATGTTAATGGCATCAGCATGGCTCATTACATATTATTCAGAAGGATTCACGTTGATACTATAGAAACCGATATTACCTTGTGAAAAATCATGAAAATCGTGATTTTTGTAGGAATAACAACATAAACAAGAGTGATTCGCAGTATTTTCCACAAAAAAAAGATCATCGTACGTGAAATAAACTGTTGAATCAAAGAATATATGAAAGTACAAGGTAATCTTTCAGAAATTCCGGAGTTGGAAAATTTCTTGTGGTACTGGAAATTTTATGAAAAAACAATCAATCCAAAACGTGATACCATAAGAACCAGAAAAATTTTGAATCGATATCAGAGAAGACAGAAAAGTTATAGAGAGGCCAAACTAAAACGGTTCAAACCCGGTATATGAATGTCTATTTATGATAATCGAGTTGACACCTACTTCTGGTATAACCAGACTTACCATTATTTTATATCTTCAGCTTTCAAAAACTACAGATAATTTGCAGATATCTTGTCGTTTTATTACTATATCCACAGAGATCATTATTTTCATAAATATCTATCAAAATAATTTTCTGGGCCCGGTTCTGGCTACTGTATTCAATTCCAGATGAGATAGCCTAAGAGATATCTTCGATAATCATTCTTTGTTACAATATTAACTCGTTTGATTCAAAGACTCTACCGCAAAACTGTTTTTACGACAGTAAACGTCAAAAGAGAAATTGAGATTTTACCTATTTAACGGTCCAGTGAACCTTAAGATTTGAAAACTTTTACTGCAATTTATATTATTCAATCAGTTGTTTTGTCAAATCCATCAAATAACGATGGTCGATAGAGTTTATTGTGGAAAAATATTTTCATATAAGTTAGTTTTTTTTGTATTGGGTCTCACGGGTGAGTTTATATGGCATAGGTATTTCTCTTTTCATAGGTCTCAGGTAGTTTTGTAATTTTATATCCAGTTTGATGGGTTTGTGCCTATACTACGAACATCTAAGCTACGAAATGCTCTAAAACATTATCATGCATAGTGCACTAGAAAATATATGTAGAAAATATATGACTTTTGAAAATGGAATTTCCCCCATAATTTCATTTTGTTTTTTGCATCTACAGTATAATTCCATAAAAGTAGGCACTGAGTGCTCAGAAATGACTGACATTTTTGTCTTAATCTATCTATGTGAATGAATCTATTATGCTTATGTGACAATTTTTCTTTAGCGGGTATAAATCACATCTCATTCACATGTCCCAATTTCAAATTACACCGGCCGTATTTCCTAAATAATCTGCTTTCTTCGAATGTTTCGTTTCCAACCAATATTAACAGTATTTTCAGCTACACTCAATGAAAAAATATACAATATAATTCTAACATTCATAATTGAATCCAAAATATGAATATAAAACGTGGTATCTCGATTTATTTCGAAATTTCTGTGGCACAAAATAAACTCCGGTTTGATACCAGCGGGGGGGGGTACAATTAGGGAAATGTACTGTAATTAAATGCTTTATTTGCTTTATTACACACGATTCTCAAAATTTGGGACCCAACTTAGTTCGTCATTGCGTAGAATCCTTAGAGAAACCTTCGAATCTGATGTTTTTTTCCAATTTATTTTTGTACTATTTGAAATCTATATTGTTTGAATAATATGTATTAAATCTATATACAAAATTGAGCAGGCAACTTTTCTTGAAAAAATTCTTCGTATATTAATTAGTATAAGAACAGTGCATCAGACATGTACGTAGTAACTACGGCTCTGACGTTAAATTTGATTTTGATGAATTCAATAATGATAGAACTGAAGCATTTAGGAGACATCGCAGATATATAGGTTATACTCAAATCGATCATTTATTTGAAGAACGACGCCTGTAAATACAACTAAAGAGAAAGTTTTAGGAAATTGCAAAAATGCGGTTACTCTGCAAAAAAACTGTTCGAAAATAATATTGATTTGAGTCGAGTAGAAAGTGATACAGAACATTCAGTTGCAGTCACTTAAATGTTCACGTTGTAGCTGTTTGAGCAGAGGATAGTGATATGTCAATAATGTTGATGGCTTTGGTACTTGATGGTTAGAAGAAAAGTTTTTTCAAGCACTCATAAATGTATATCTAACAGAATCCATATCATATCTTCTGTATTCATGTATTCACCGAATGTGATACTACATCTGCTTTTTAAAATAAAAGAAAAAAGATTTTAATAATTATTGTGTAACGCTCATAACTGAAACTTTTTCAATTGGGATTAAAGACTTTTAAGATCAAACGTACTTTTCAATAAAGTTATTAATTTTACTGTTACTGTCAATGTATGGTACCAAAAATGACGAAAAATTGAATGAACTGCTTTACAAATGTTTCATAGCATCAATTTCAAAGAAAAACAGCGTTTGAGAAATATACCGAATTGATAGTTTGATTCGGAATGATGAAATCAGCAGGTAGATACTTGACAGAGATTGAAGTTGATTATTGTCCGATATTTTGCTAACTTTAGGTCATTGCAGGATCATTTGCAAGCAAAGGCGTAATATTTTGACTTAGAAAAAGGCGTTGGTGGTATTTTTGTACATTTCTGAAAACACTGTACAATTCAGCGCAATATTTTTGTCATGTTGAGAGAACAAGTTCATGAATAGAAAAATGATACTCTGAAACATAGGATTGGCATAAAGATAACTACTTAAAATCATTCTAATGGATTTAGCCGGCGCTGTTTTACAAAAATATTTGTTCACAAACGTATATTCTTCAGATGATTTTTTATAGTATCATACATATTGTTCGAACGATATGAATAATTATACCTCGCTTTAAGAATTCCCTAATTTCAGAATACATAAAAAGAAAATTGGAAAAAAGTCAACAGAATCGTGTCTGTTTTGAATACTTCTAACCTTTGCTTGTTGATACCATCATTTCAATGAATTCAATTTTCATATTTATGTAATTTTCAGCCGGTGACACTGCAACTGAAAACGTATCGCAATGTGAAACTTTGCGGGGTGATATCGAATGTGAAAAATCAGATCTGGCAGGATCTGCCCTGTTATCGATTATCAATGAAGGTAAGTCGCTGGACGAAAGTTGAATAACATTTGACAACAAATATTTTTTTGTAAACATGACATTCTCCTTATTTTTCACTCTGAGTGGGTAGATTCGGCTCTGTGCTTTCACTGATAATCTTTGGTCCTTCGGTTCTGCATGCACGCATGTTTCGTGTATGTTGCGCCATCTATTAGCGAGTAGTGCTATGTGCTTGGAAATTGAAGAAAACTTCTAATATATAGCATGTTGCAATACATTATTGGAGCCTATTTTGTGAGTCTTTTGAGAAATTGTTTAAAATTCTGTAAATAACGAACTATTTCATAACTTTCTATTATTTGGCTCGTCTTCCCGTTCAAAAATGCAACTAGCGGTTGGAACGCCATCTTTTTTCTAAGAGCCACACAACTTCTGGATGTTTATTTTTAGAACCTTGAATGAATTGAAGTTTGTTTTGCTAGCGCAGTTGTAGTTTGTAACTTGTGGTGATGGGTTATGTGCCATGATTTCGTTTTGCTTATAGATATTTTTCAATATATATTTCGAAACTGAGTTAACAATACAATGAACCAAATGACGATATTAGGTTTTCTACTTATTCTAAGTATCTTTTTCATTAGTAGTTCCACTAAGGAGTTCAATGGTAAGTATATAGGGTAAGTTTTTCTTGAAAATTTCACAAGTTGAAATGAAAATTTAACAAATATCGTTGATTCAACACAGATGCCGTGTGTTGAGAATATTCCATACGATCTTTAAAAAATGTTCAATTTCTCTCTCGAGAGATACTTATATCATCCAAAAGTTTATCACAGATGCGACAAACACAATATCGGTCAAGACAGATAGTGGGCCTATCGAAATTGAACGAATTACGAACGTTTTAGTAATCAAGAGGATGTAATGAGAAAAAAGATGATCTGTTTTAATCATTAGTTATATTGACACATATTTTATAGTACTAACGAGAATAAAAACCCACATCCTCCGATGATGTAATTGATCTGTTTATGGTATATGCCGGCCCGCACAGATGTTATGTAAATTCAAGACTCCAATCACTTAGCCATGATTAAAGTTTTGATATTTTCCCAACAAACTGTGTCAGATGGTTCAGTGCCCTCCGCTGCCTCAGACATAACAATGGGTGCATTCTCAAATGGTCTGAAATTATGTTGTTCGAAGATTTCGGAGTAGTTATTCTGGAACCCCAATCATGATGAACGAACAAATAATGCTATTCACTAATTTTTAAATTGTCTTGTTTCAATTTATTTCAATTGAATCTCAATCAAAGTGTTTTCGACAGCATCAATATTGTTGAATTATTTTGTAGGCAAACTAACTATCCTGCAAATTCACTGGGTTTGCAAATTCTCAAGTTCCAGTTTCTGAGAAATTCAACTCTGCCAGTACACATATATCAAGTTTCAATATATCAAAGTTTTGTTATAATATAAGTAACTTGTTTCATGAATAAGTGGATGAGATACGTCTCAAAAATGTATGATTACTATACAGTGCATTTCTTTAATCCCCCCCCCCTTTTATTATTTAAACATTGCCGTTATTGGAGTGACACCAACCCTCACGTTTTCCGGGAAAAACATTCGATTGGGGAATTCGATATGGATATTGTATTCCAACAAGATGGAGCACCACCACATTACTCCAGACAAGTAAGAAACTATTTGGATACTACTTTTCCCGGTCGTTGGATTGGATGTCGAGGTCCTACAGAATGGCCAGTCTGCTCGCCAGATTTGACACCTTTGGACTTTTTTATGGGGATATTTAAAGCAAAAGGTGTACGAAACTGAACCTGCTTCAATATTGGATATACAGCAAAGAATAATAAATATTTGTGAAGATATTGACGTTACTATGTTCGAAATTGTTCTGCGTCAAATATCGAATAGGCTGTTCATATGTCAAGAAGTTCAAAGCAACCATTTCGATCATCTTCTGAACTAATCGCAAGCTTATAACCTCATATTGTGTGGTTAAATGTCAATATATTCGGGCAATTATTAAAAGTTCCGCCATTTTGTAGTAGTTGAAAATATTGAAATTATATTCTAGAGTTGTGAAGCAATGGTCAGGAGCTTTAAAACGATGTGTCACAAGACCCTCCTTTCCATTAATTTTTTTCCAGGTGGGGGCCAGTCGCCATCTTGAAAGTTTTATCTGTCAATTTCACTTCAAAATGAAGTATTCATGCATTATCCCAAATTTCAGTTTTTTGAGTTGACCTGTTCAAAAAATAAAAGGGGGGGACATAAAAGAAATGCACTGTCTACTTTGAACTGTATTATCAAAATGAACGGCATTTGAATCAATACACTCTTGCCAACGTATTACAAGTCGTAACAGCATTAAAATTGTGTAGGTACTTAAGATTCGTTGAAGTCGACGAAGGCCATTTTTGCCTGGCAGTGATTGGCGAAGGTTTTACCAGTGAAAAAGTTATCGAAGTGCTTGGAAAGATGGTAGTCGATCGCCGAGAGGTCAGGGGAGTGTGGAGGCAGAACTTTTGCGCTCAATTCGCTTGATTCTCGGTCAGTCTCCATCAGGTTTCCCAAATTCTCGTCCTCATCTTCGAGGCTAAAATCTCCGGAACAGAATTTAACAAACCAACGTCGAACAGTGAGGTCATTGAAACTATCATTGCAATGCCTGATTAGTTTATTGAGCTGTTTTGATTCAATTTGAATTCGTAGGGAAACATTGGCCAAACAACGCCTAACGACATAATAGAAATGAGCTGGAAAGATGGAAAAAATTGAAATTTGGAAAATTCAACATCATCAATGTATAGAGAACCAACATTCTCTATCGGTCAGTATATACCACACACAGACAAAACTTTTTAAAAAACCCAAGGCTACACACACCAAAATATAGTTGTTGTAAAACACCGAACAAAATACAGTGATAGATTCGGTTCACAACATCCTACTTCATGAGCCATTGTTTATTTGTGTAGAAAAACGTAGTCTATTTATAGATTTGATTACATTCGATTTCAATTTCAGCAGCTTGCAGCTGAAAGACTTACACATCGGACTATTTCGAGAAATATTACTGTCTAAACATAATAATTGTTCTAATTGGGAATCAGGGCGACATTCAAAAACAGTCAATGCAAATCGGCGACATCGAAAACATGGGCCTAATACACTGGCTCAAATTTACCATCGTTTCAGGCTATGAATTTGAACAGTGTTAAGTTTTGTTTTGCTGCATAATTTGTATGACGATCTTAGCGAGTAGTAATATATTTTTTGTGGATTTTTATGGTGTTACGTACCAAAAATGCTGTATTCTAATGCAACTATTCAAATACAAGGTTCTGATGGCCTGTCTAGATTATTTGCATTAACAACTGATGCTCTTCAAGGTGAGCCTATGAACCCCCTTCTATTCGCACTATTTATAGCGGATATAGAAACATTCTCCTGTGATAAGCAGATTCAGAGTGTGAACATTGATGCTAGAAATGACGTGTAAGCTCTATTATATACAGATGATCTGGTGATTCTTGCCCACCCAGAAATTGATGTCGTGAAAGAATTGAAGATTCTAGAAAAATATACTATTTGCAATGAGCTGACTGTTAATTTACAAAAAACTAAAATTATGCAATTTGCTCGAGGTGGATATCGTGAACCTAATTTTGCTTTTCATTTCAAAGGACAACCACTAGAGGTAGTTTAGGTTAAGTCCAAAGTGAGTGGGTCTATTCGACCCTCCACCGCAACTCACAAGGGTTTATTGTGACTCACACCTATTCACACTCGACCAAATAAACACAGCTCCTTAAAGAAGCTAATTAGGTTGTATGTTGAGTGGTTTTTCAGGTCAGTTTGGCTCTGCCCAACTCTTAAGACCTGATTAGGTCCCCAGCGGGGCAGGCACAAAGTATATGCTCTGTTAATGAGGTAGTCGGATGGTCAAGTTGCAAGAATCCCACCTTGATACCCACGACAACCTTTCCATATGAGGGTTTTTGCACGTCAGCTACACCTGACGAAGCCTTAGATCCGTCAGAATTTTAGCTGGAATAGGGTGGAGAGACTCATGTAGAAACGTTTTCAAAAACCATGGAATACTTACAGTTGCCGGTTTGTATATCTATGAGTTATGTAGTTATGTTTATATGAACAAACGTATATTTTCAACCCAGCAACATAGTTATATTACCCGTTATATATGTGCACAGCATGCACAGTGATTCAGACAGAGAAAGATGAACAAGGACAGCCAATCCGCTTTGGGGAATAGGACTCAGTATATTAAATATTCCATATCATCGCATATTTCTGTAACTTCTGGTTTTCCTCAAGGATCGCATACAGGCCCAATACTCTTTTTTTTTCTATAAACGATGTGTCAGATGTTGTATGCCACAGCTATTACTCAATGTTTGCAGACGATTGACACGAAATTGACACCTGGTATCCACGAGTAAAATCATTTGAATCATTAGCAATGAGCCTTATGTTCAACTCCGTTACGGCATGGGGCATTCGATATTTGGAAGTATTAGAAATAGTACATCACAGTTTCTTGAAAAAAATTATTTTAGTGCCTATTAACACACCCGACGCAATAGTACGTTTGGAAACTGGCACTCTTCTATATTTTTAAAATTACCGTAAACTGGCTGTACAACACTCTTACCATGGAGAGTGATCGTTATCCAAGACTTTGTTTTGAACAACAAATAGGATTAATGAATACGACTGATGCAAAATATAATTGTGCACTTCAAGTAAAGCAATTTTTTATTGATAGCGGATCTCTAGAAATTTGGAATAATTGAATTCGAATAGGAGAAATATAGTAAATGGATATTACAGTTATCTGTACAACAATGATGCATCTACAGCATCTCGTTAACCTTTCATGTATATGTACAATATGCTAAGTACTTCAAAGGAACCAAGCTCATATCTGCTATAAATTCAGTCAGAATTTGAAAAACTCAATTTTGTTAGATCGACTCCATGTCATGAGCAGAACCTATTATGTAGAAGGTGATTTCTAAAGTACAACAAGTGTTTCTTTTTCAGACGTACTCGTATATACAGTCGCTACCGACACATGATGAAACCCTGTACCGTGCATTCTCCTACACACACACACACACATAAACACACAAAATCTCATATGAAAAAAAATCTGAACGATCCATGCACCAGACACTTCAAGGTCACAACGCCTTGACTTCACTGCACAACAAAAAAAAACTTCACCAAACAACAACCAATAAAAAAGCAATTAATACGTCATAGTGGTGGGGGGAGGCCGAGAATCAGCTGTAAACAACTACTAAGGCCTATTAGATATCACAGTTCATCCCTACTGTAGTCCAACAACTGTTTGGTATCAAGCTCCGAAAGGTAAATAAACGCCTTGGAGTGAGCCAATCCTGGAAGAGTCTGCCAGAAGTCCAAAAATCTTCTTGCCATCCAGGTGTTCAATCTTTGTTTGGGAAAGCCTAAAGTGATGCCAATGACACGTTCTGGTCCGATGAAGCTGCTCGTAGCACCCTCCTTTGTAAGGGAGTTAGCAGCCTGATTGCCTTCCAGGCCAGTATGGCCAGGAATCCAGACCAGAGACCATCTGTTAAGTCTTCCTATCGAGGGGCTTCCAAAGCTGCATGACTGTCTGAGAATATTTTCATTGACTTGTGTTAGAGGTTGGATTCTCCCAATCTCTCTGCACACAATTCAATAGCGTAAATTTCCGCTTGAAATACAGTTGCATAGGTTCCTGGGCAGGTAAATATCTCTGTCCTGGGTCTGCGACTAAAAACATCTACACCCGAACTGGAAGGTGTTTTTCATCTGTGAACCATCAACTATCTGCTCTTAATATTTCCTTCTCCCGGAGGATCCAGTCGTCTCTACTCGGGAACAGTACTTTAATAAGGCAGTTCGTAGTTGACAGTTGGAGGCATAAAGTCAGATGTCACTTCCAGAATGCTGTGACTTCCAGTGTCAACCAACGGTCTGTTGCACTCTGCATTAAATTGATTTGTGCAAATGGCAATGTGCACAAGTCTGTATGCAGTACATCTACCCTCGCTCTCCAGGTCAGGCCGGGAACTTCTAGGACCACCCTGGTATTATTGAATTGTTTCTAAAATGTTGTCCGTTTTTTATAAGTGAACTTCAAACTGTAATGTGTGCTCCAGCCACATTTTCACTATTTCACTACGCATATTTTCACTACGCAAAAATATATATCACGGAAGAACAGCACGGGTTTGTTAACAACAATTCAATCAATACTAATCTATTTATTTTTACTAATTATGCATATAATACGCTAGAATTAAAGAATCAACTCGATAATGTATTCACGGATTTCAGAAAAGCTTTTGATAAAGTAGACCACGATGTTTTGTTATATAAACTGAATAAAATTGGATTTTCTGAGAATTTATTGAAATTATTAAAAAGTTATTCACAAAATAGATACTTCTGTGTTGAACACAACGGTAACACATCAGGTAAATTTCATGCTAGCTCTGGTGTTCCTCAAGGGTCTAACCTTGGACCACTATTATTTGTTCTATTCATGAATGATCTCCCTTCCATTTTGAAATTTTTTGAATGTTTGCTTTTTGCCGATGATCTGAAATTATATAAACAGATACAAACAGTTAGGGATTGTGTTAATCTGCAAAGGGACATAGACAGTATTTATGAGTGGAGCATCACAAATAAATTGAAATTTAATATTAACAAATGTAGTATCATCACAATAACTCGTTTGAAGGATCCTGTTAATTTTGATTATATGATGGATGAGGAAGTCCTCCACAGATGTTCTGAGGTTAGAGATCTTGGGGTAACTTACAACAGTACTTTATTGTTTGCCAAACATATTTATTCTTATTCAGGCAAAAAATACCTCATTTTTATTTTCAGCTGATATCGAAATTGCCACAATCGACTCAAAAGATAAAGAAGGAGAAGCTGAAAAATATGTGATCAAAAACACTGTTACCAAAACGGAACCTTTAGTCATACACGGCAATGGAGTGTCCAAATTCTCTTTGAACTATTTGAGTAATTATGTTCCAAACACTTGGAATTCCATAGTAGGATGTCGGCAGTGTGCCGAAGGACATATCGATCTAAGCAACCTTGCAACGAAAGAATTACCAGTAGTTCTTCTGTCTGTTTTCATCGAACAGAATACTCCATTTTTGGAAGAAGCGTTGCAAAAAGTCTATTCGTTGGACTATCCTCGGAAGAGGATGCATCTTTTCGTTCATAATGCGGTAAGTCCTACAAAACCACATTTCCAGTCATGATAAAAAAGTAGATGCTGATTCCTTTCTGTTCCAGATGAAGTATCATAGTGACCTAGTCAAAAATTTCACTGACAAATATTCCAAAGAGTATGTGTCTTTCAAACAAATCACCTCAGAAGATGGTACTCCAGAGTGGAAAGCTAGAGATCTCTCCCTGTAAGTACATTCCAACTTTTTGCTTTCGCAGATAGCGTATGTGTATGTGAACAACAAAATGCAATAAATGAAGCGTCAAATAAAAAGTATTTGAGTAGGGAATCAAACAGAATCCTGTATTGGGACCAATCACATACGAAGTTAACCAAAATGTTTAACATCGACTTCAAGAAAATCAGGTCTTTGCTCTGTCTCTGAGTAAGACGTTTCCATTTCCCCAGCTTGGTTTCCATTCATTTCCAGCAAAATTTGGTTGTTGTTTCCACTATTTCTTGAATCACGTTCTCGGTTCCACCTTCCTGCTCTATTCCAACTGTCACAGTTGGCTACAGCTCCTAACGAGCTATTTTTCTCCAGTGGAATTTTATGTTCTGCGACCTTAAAAAGAAGTTTTGACATATTTGCTCACGAAGAGGTCTGAATTCACTTATATAAATGACAACGGCGGTATGTTGTAACCATCATTCAACCACCGCTGATTGATAGTTTCAACTTCTATGACAAGTATTCACAAGAGCTCAGATAATTATTAACCGGTCCGGTGAGTCTTAGTCGAATTCCACTAGTTCTGTGTTCAATTCTCCAATTTTCCTGTCCAGTTGCGTTTTTTTTCATTTACTCAGACTTTTTCATTCTGTTCAGTTGATGTCTCCTGAACTTAGCAGCAGTTTCCAATAGCTTTGAGGTTCATACATGCCTTCATATCATGTCTAGTCAGACCACTTAACTGTAGGCTCTTGTGTTAATAAAAAAGGGCATTACCTATCTGTTTGGGTCTTTTAGGGCTCAAAATATAAATCATGGAGTGATATTTTTGTCAAGGTTGTGGGCCTGTTGATCAGTAGCATATGTTTATTCAACTCTGTCTCGTACCTCCAAATTAAAATAACCATTTGAACTTTATCAATAAACAAGACTGGTCTTCTTTATTCCTTTGATCGTAACTCCAGTATTTAGCAACCATCAGAATGTTATGACGTTTAAATAGTTATTAGTTAACTTCAATATTGTCTTAGAAACCTAAACACTTGAATGACAATATATTACACATTACCTCTTCTGAAATGCAACCAAAATTAAAGACAGAAAGGAGTAGTTGGGATTGGAACTGTGAATTGAAGAAGTACATTAAAAAATACAAGAAATGTAATCAATAAGCACCTACACATACTATATTGGTAGAAAGGGAACCTCTAACATGAAATAAATCTAGTGAAATCTCTTTTCATACACCAGAACAAAAATGCTGTCTCTTGACGGGCGTTTCGCTAAGTTAGCATCAACAATTTCAGTTATATAAGCTTTTCAATTATCATTTGTTTTCAGGGACCACTGTCTTGCCAAAAAATGTGATATGTACTTCTCTGTAGACTCAGTTGTCCATATCGACAATCCATTCACCTTACGCTTACTAATCGAACAAAACCGTACCGTTATTGCACCCATGGTAACGAGACCTGGAAAAGCCTGGAGTAACTTTTGGGGATCCCTCACACAAGACGGATTTTATGCTAGATCTAATGATTACATGGATATCGTACATAATGAAAAGCGGTAAGTACTGAGAATAATCATTTGTTTTCAACGGGTAACGAAAATTTGGAGAAATAGACCATTGGAAATCGTGTCAAAAAAAACATTGCTTTTAATCACTCCGCAGCAAGGACGCAACCAAAATCTAAAACTTTCTTTCAAAAGAGTACATTACAATGTTTTTTTTTGTTTTATATAGTAATCCTATATGGTTTATAATAATATGACTTATACTATTTGTGGTCAGGTTTGTTTTCCCTAAATTACAATTGTTTCGAAAGAAACAGGTTTGAGAGGTAATATTATCTTATAAATTCTCTGACATAACATAAAAGTCATGACTTACTACGATTTAGAATATCACTACTATTATAAAAGTCATGAAACTTTGAATTCTTTCGAAATTTTGACTTCGTTTTCAGTGATAATATCAGCAAAGTTTATTAAATTGGCTTGTATTTTTTTGTTCCTATTTGCCAAGAATGGATGTAGAAGTAACCCTCCAGAGTAACCAGGCAGATAATCAAAATTCTCCTTTTAATATCAATAACAGTTTATCACAATAACGATTCAGTATCAAAGAATAGTCAGTATTAATCGAAAGCAATGCTGAAGTCGGTTTTAAACGACCTTCTGTCTATGGAGTACATGTTATCAGCTGTACATTCGTAGACCCCCGCATCCATTTGGGTCGCCGGATCTATTTCCAGCTTGCTCTTTATCTTGTCTCTCCCAATCTGCCACTCGTGAATCTGAAACATATTACAAATAAAGATTATGCAATATTATTGTTCCACTGCTCCTTTCAGAAGTTGAATAATGAGAGCCGGTAAATGAGAGTAAACCGAATTACCGATTTTTACAGTTCAATTCTTTGTGGTCTATACTAGGTGTATCAACATTTGTATTATTTTTTACTACGTAATACAAAATTATTAAGGTTTTTTTTGTTTTCCATAATGTGTTTATTATAATGTTCATACGATCTGAAAGTTGCAGTTTGTATACTATACTGTTTTTACAGAATGGTGTGATGTTGATTAGGCCATAGGCGTATCATTGAGTATAGGGATAAAATAAAAAGATAAAAAAAGATAAATGTTTTTTGACTCTGGACAGGTACGGACCTGTTTAGTATACTCATCCTAACATGTCTCTGTTACCATTCAGTTGGTTCAAAAAATTGTATATTAGACTGTTTTTACAGAATAGATTGATGTTGATTAGGTCATAGGCATGAAAACTTCTTAAGAGAGAAAAAGTCAAAAAAGAGTTTATTGGTTTATAAAGAATGCACACGTTGATAATTAAGAAAAGAATGAATCATGAACAGATACCTATCTGTGAATCAAATTAGTGAAATTATAAATATCATGAGAGTCTGGAATCGTCCAAGAACTACAAAAATGAAGTATAGCCGGAAGTCAGAGAAAAGTAATAAAAACAAGAAGACAGGAAATGAAATGAGTTGAGAGAAATAAAGCTACGCGCACGAATGATAATATAAAACCGTAGACAAATACCAACAACGGAAATAATAAATATAGTTTAAAAAACTAAAAAACACGCTTTTAAAAAACATCGAACTAAAAAGTTAAAAATATTTTTTTTAAATAAGCTTCGCGTGTTAATAAAAAAAAATACTTTTTTCAAATGAAGAACTACATGTAAACTGAGTTCGAAGTATATCAAGGAGGTTGCGTACAGCGCCATCTGCCCGCGAATAGATCAAGCAATAATGTCGATAATTCTGTCAAATACAGATCCCAAGCTTGAGAGTTACAAGCAAAAAAACAAACATACGTACAGGTGAAGCTAATAAAAGCATGTTAAAAACTCTAGCATTTCGACCGTTACCGCATCGCCTTTGATAATGTATACCGCAGTTGTAGACGACACGTCAAGCATAAAAACCTGCAGACCACGGCTAATAAACCCGGAACATTCTGGGAAAAATTAACTCACATGTAGATATTGATGTGTGAATATTTCGCTACCATCCTTATACCAAGTGATATGAGGTCGTGGATTTCCTCTGGCCGAACACAAAAACGCTATTTTGTGTCCCAAGACATATTCATAGTCGAAATGTGATGCTAGCGTAATTTTTGCACCCTAAAACAAGAGAAAGAAACTATATTGAAAACTTGGCAGGCTCGACAAATTAATATACCTTAGTTAACTTTAAGAAAAGTCGATATTCAACAAAAATAGGTGTCAATCCTTTTGAATATTATGACAAAAATGAAAATATTTTCTCCGAGAAATAGTATAATTATTCAACTAGCGGGAAATGCGGTCATTACTGTTTACTCCTCTAGCAAAGCCCATATTTTTTCATGTTTTTCGTCAGAAACTATACAGGGTACAACGCGATGCCCGCCGGTTCGTATTATGAAAATTGGCAAATATAGCTTTTTTATTATGCTTCCTTTACGGCGGTTTTCCAACACTTCTGGTTATACCGGAAGTTGGTACCAACTTCCTCAATTAAAATGTAACACCCTGTATATTTTCATTTTTTTCAATACCTGGCATCATGCCTGGAAGTTAGCGGAAATATCTTTGAACATATTTTGAAACAGAGTTTATATTTTATGTGAAAAACCAATATAACATTTTTGAATTTTCGCTATTTTATACAACATTCAGAATAAATATTTTCAATTGATTTTATTTAATCATCTGAAATCCTATCTTAAATCAAAATCTTGACGGAGAATTGATAGCTCTAATAAACTTTTTGTAACTGATCAAAATGAAGATTTCATAGCCTATAGTTTTATAGTGGATATGCGAATGTTTTATTTTTTCAGGAAAAACTGAAGTATCTCGTGAACGGTTGATTCTTGATAAAGGGGAATGTCTCAGTAACCTTATTATATACAGTCTGCTAATATTGAAAAACTATTTGATACTGGCTATAGTCGCTTAATACATCTATTGGTAATGTGGATCATCATCATGTTCTGTATTATTTTCATTGGTAACGCAGTTACCAATAATAGGGACTTCATTTTGGTCAGCAGTTACCAATAGTAGGGACTTTATTTTGATCAGCTTATGGACAATGTGTGGATGACGAAACGTCAGATTGAAAATTTGTACACGCCACCCTATACAGCTTGAAAAGTGTCTATGAGAAGGTATTCTTTCTTCTTAATTATCTTTTTGAAAAACGCTAAAAATCAAAACGAAATTGGTGAATGGTGAATGGTCAACTAATCGCAAATTGTCATTTGAATAAACTCTAAAATGGGCAACTAATTCCTGATTCCACTGACTGTACCTTCTTATATTTCATACCAAGAATGTGGTAACTGATATTTCTGCACTTACGTTGTTGTTGTTGTAGTACTGATCTGATTCAGGATCTCGGTATTTTCCTGTTATCGGTAGACCAATTTGAAACTGAAATCAGAAACATATTATGTAAAACTGTCTATACACGCACATATATCAAGATATGAGTATTTGTGTTTCACATTCAGGAAAAAACACATCTGTAGTTTGAAAATTAAATGTTATTTTTTAATTTCAACTTCACATAATAACACCAAAACTGGGATGACTTTAGGATGAACTGTATATTGCTTTAATGATGAATGACGTTACTACTACATGAAATGTCATTTAGATAATATACTTCGAGATTCATTTATGATATTCAATCAACCATTCAATGTGTATACGTTCTGTGATCATGGTAAAAGCAGAGTTATATCTTCCGGTGACATAGAATTAAAATACTCTGAAAGAAATGATAATTTGGTCTCATATTGTTATTTGAAACGGTATCGATGATGTGATGAAACAAGTGCCTTGGGGACCGAAAGTTCTACAAGCAACGGCCATTTAAAAATCATACCAAATACAGCGATTGGCTTGTTTATACATCACAGGAGCCATGAGGCAACACCATCCAATGGAGTTAATAACTGGTCTAACCACTTTGGAGCTGTACATTAAAGAGGTTACGTTAATGGCCATGTTACGATTGTAACATGTTACGATTGTAACATGGCCATAACATGGTGTAAACCTCGAAGTAGGAATGGGTCAATTGAGGCTGAGCCTACGGCGAGAAACGCTCATTGCGCAACCTCTACTGCAGGCACTCAGTGATGCAATTGAATCCAGGTTTGCATTTAATAAACCCTAGAAAATACAAATAAAACAGAACACAGAGTCAGATGCTACAAATGCAATATGCATATATACAGACGGCTCAAAAACCAAAGAAGGCTCAGAATATGGAGTTTACTCCAGATCACTGAGCCTAAAGATTATGTGAAGAATGGGAATCAGCGTGGTTCAAACAGAACTGGCTGATATCTCAACCTAACAAGGAAAGGAATTTCTGGCAATACATAACAATCTGCACTGATAGTAGACAAGCCTTATTAGCCTTGAACAGACAACGTGTTACCTCAGGGCTAGTGCTAGAGTGCCACCAAGACTTAGCCAAAGCCTCAATAGATAATAACATTATTCTGAGGTGGGTTAAAGAGAACGGCAGGAGTGAAAGTAATCGCATTGCCAACTCTTTAGCCAAGGAAGCGGCTGGACTAAGAATTTTAGGACCTAGTGACACCTACGGCCTGATGACTTCGACAATTGCGGAACTAGCCAAACGTCACACCCATGCTCAATCCCTAAAGAGATGAGATGGAATCAAAGGATGCAGTTTCAGTTTTGCCAGGATCACCCTGGGCAACCCTGGGAAGCTGGCGCCGAAGAAATATCTGGCGATGTACAGGAAAAACCTACGCAGTAGGATTTCGGACTGGCCACTGTCAACTAAGGAAACACCTCCATATTATGGGGATAGTGGACACACCTCTTTGCAGGATGATGAAACTGTCAGGCATGTCTTATGTGAGTGTCCGGAGTTATCGTCAACAAAAGAGTGTGTGTTCGGCGAGTCTTGGCCTACGCCTGCCGATATAAAGATGTCTCCTAGTGACCTGTCCACCTTCCTGAAAAGGTCAGGATGGACGATGACCTACAAGGACAACTTTTCGGGAGGATGTACGATGGGCCACATGTAGCCTAACTGCTGTTAGCCAACACTCACCCTCCCTACTCTACAGATACAAATAACAAGTGCCTTGCCCCGAAACTTCGAAGTACACCGTTGAGGTTGATAGTGTTCCATGTTAGTGACATTTTATATCAATTATCTTTCATATAGTACATTATGTAGCGTTCTCATGAATGAATATCTATTTAAATTCCATAAAAAAAGTTTAGAGTACAAACTCAATGAAAAAGTGATCCGATATTCATATGAAAGTAGTTGTTTACAGAATATTTCATTTTTATATTGTACTCAAAAGATACTTCTGTGCAAGTATTATTTTCTCCTCTCTTTGAAACTTACGCCCATTTTTCATTCAATGGTGGACCACTAGAAAGCCAGTTAGGATTTTTCCCAAATGAAGTTTTTGGATATTTTTTTGTACTGATGATGATGAAGATGGGAAGCATGCTGGTCGTGTTAACGTTTTCATTTTATGTTATAACGTACACCCGAGTTGAACAATTAGTTTATGAAACAAATATAAAATCAAATTTTGTCGTGTTAATCGAAAAATGAATAAAATGGAAAACTCATTTTCAAACATCTCACCTTTGATTTGGTCCTACTTCTAGCTCGTCCCCTTCTCATTTCCACATTATCCAAAAACGCAAACAGCACCAACAAAACGAACGAAAATTCCGCTCTCATACTTTTCGATGTATGACTACTTGATGGGTAGGCTGAGGTCGTTGCAAAAACGGCACAAAGTCATTGAGGTCTCCCCTTTTGTTCACATACATTGATAACAATTTAGATCAATCAAGCTTCTCATCGGATAAGATAATGTTCGTACAGGAAGATTTGTTTGGATTATTTTTCAAACCGGCTTGTAACCGGGTTATATGCCGCCATTAGATATAATTTGAAGTGGGACACTGTCATTAGCAGTAAATCTGTGGTTAGGACTTTCATGATGCGAATGATAATAATTATCCATTAAAAAACTTTTTATTTTATCTTTCCTCGAATTTTTATTAGGTACTTTGATGAGCTGTCGCGAATGATTGGAAGCGTTGTCAAGAACTATTCGCAATCAAATTTGGGATCAATGTGTTTTCATTCCTCAAACATATTAGCTTCCATGGTCTTATGATAGTCAACATTGCAGTCCTCAAGTTTTTTCACACATAATTTCAAAGAATTTGGAACCCATACTTTTCTTCCTCCGCAATGCACAATGATTAGTCGCGATCCTTTGTTGGCAGGCATGTTAGGCGTACACATTCTCGAACCATCAGTCCACCCTTTCGAAAATGTGTTGTGAGTGTCATACCAAGTTTCGTCCAAATAGAGTCGAATTTTTATGTTTTTTACCACTTTCAATTGTAACTTACGTTACTGCAGTTTCGTCCTATATGGACATTCTCAAAATAATACAATAAACTTGTATTATTAGCTTCATTGTATTAGTTTGAGAATGTCCATATAGGACGAAACTGCAGTTACAATTAAAAGTGGTAAAAAACATAGAAATTTTCATTTCTCTTTTCATTATGATCTCCTACCACGTAGTAACAGCTACATCCATCAATTTATCCAAATAGAGTCGTTGTTCTTGTCTGTATTCAGTTATTTGTTCTAAGTATTTGTTACGCAATTCCACTATTCTTCTGCTTTTCATAACTGCTTGACGTTTGTCTATTATTTTAAATCTAAATCCTAGTTTCTTTATCCAATTCTGAAGAGTTTTGTCACAGCAGCTCACGTTATGACCAGAAGTATACAATTTCTTCATTATGATTTCAGTTGTAGGAATCTTATTGCTTTTGTAACAGTCATATATTGTTTTTTTTTCAATTTATAGGGATGGATGTTTCCCTTTACCTGCGTTGCTGCCACTACCTGTGTTTGCTCGACTACCTGTTTTGGTCTTATTACCTGAGCTGCCTCTCCTGTCTCTGTTATTGTACCTGTATTGTCATGTACCTGTCGGCATGTGGCGACAGGTACATGACATGCATTGTTCAGCATCGCTATTGGAATCACTACACAGGAAAATGTCTGCGTTGTTATCACACTAGTTATAACTATTAGTATTTGTCCAAAGACGCCACATTTTAAACAGATACCAAAAATTTGTAAGTAATTATAACTGCACCAATATCGAATTTCAACACTCAAATCACGATCAGTTTCTGAACTGAACATTGACGACACAACGGCGATACTCATTCTCACATTCTATTCGTCACCGTAACATGATTCCAAATTTCATTTCATGACTCTTCAGCCCATCAAAAAACTTGATTAGTAAAAATTATCCAATACAAACCGCCAATTCTTTAGTCCGCGTGGACTAGGTTGCAGCGGCATTATTTCCCTGTATTGCTTTTTTGGCCTTTGAGATGCGGATAGCTTTGAATATTCACAATGAAGGTTACTTCGACTATACTACCTAAGGTAGACATATAAAAAACTATTAGTCAAACATTGGCAAGGACAAAGTAGCAGGTGTCTACAAGCTAATATACGGACCGTGTCCAGAAGTTTATATAGGAGGAACGTCGAGAATTTTCAAAACGAGTATTTCAGAACACAAAAGAAGTTTTGAACCAAAAATAAAACAATTTCGCCTATGTTTGCCACCTTTTAAAGAATAACCACGATTTCAAAAAGGACTACGACATATCACGTACAGAAAATGAAGAACAAGAATTGAACCTCAGTGGCACTATTTTTTTGCTTTCAAGGCCGTGAATTTTCGGAATTTCTTTCTGACGTTTCGCTGACGCGAATGGCTAGCTTCTTCAGAGATGGTGATACTGGGTCTCTTTTGTTTTAGCCGAATTGAGACTTTGTTGTATCTTCTTGGTGGGTTTGAAAACCGTTTTAATGTTGTGTTTCTCCAAGAGTTTTCCAATTCAGTCTGTGTCCCTAGGGATATATGGTAGATAGGCATGTGCAACCATCTGAGCATCCTACCCGTTTCGAACCGTGGAGCTCTTCAGTTCCATGGCCTTATTGATCTCTGGTACACTGTATCCATTCGATCTGAAGGTCACTTGAAGATGTTTCAGTTCTTCCTCTAGATGCTCTGTTTCACAAATTTTTCGAGCCCGTTCAGTTAGAGTGGAGATGACTACTATCTTCTGACTAGAGATACAACAAGAAGAGAATTAGTATTGTATGGTAATTGTATTTCCAAAATACACCTGTTAAGTTATTTCAATTCTTGTAATATGCAGATATTTATATTTTCCATTAACAATCAAACCCAATTCATTATATTAGGCAAACATCAGAATACACCCCAGCATTATTCAAAATTGTCATCAAAAATCCAATTTTATATGATTAATTGTCATTAACGCGTTTATGTATTTAATTTGAAGCCGTTTCTTTCAAAATCAGACGGTTTTGTTCACATCAACATAATAACTAACCGTAGCTATCTAATTATAGCTATCGTAGTTTCTTCTGGTATTCATGGGTTCTAACTCCCCGAAAAAACCTTTCAAAGTAAATCACAGTTCAAAATTTCAAAAATGGATTTACCTTCATGGAAATTTCATGTTCAACTAGTCCAACTGAGAAACTACTGTGACATAAAATCTTGTAGGTACAATTCCGTTAAATATCTAGTTGTTGAGAACAGTTTTGAAATCGAAGTGGAACAAATTTCCAACTAGTTAATTTGTTGATAAATTGGTGGATGTAGCCGTTACTACGTGGTAGGAAATCATAATGAAGAAAAAAGAATTGAAACTTTATATGTTTTTTACCTCTTTTATTTGTAACTAACTCAAAAATTTGGCACCAATCTGATAATTTATTGATGATATGCATAAAAAACAATACTTTTATTATATATCTTCTCCACTTCACAAGATTACGAAACATTTCTGTCAAATCTCATTCAGTCAGAACAAACAAAAAACTCTATTATAAAGTTTTCACACTCTTTAACTGCGAGTCAATTTCTTCCTAAATCCTTACTGATACTTCACTAGCACAGTATACTTATATACAGTAATCCCACTTCGAGTGATTTTTGGTTTTAATTTTCTACACGCAGACCCAGGAGTTGCAGTCTCAGGTCTGCGCAAACGACTAGTTCAAGACAGGCACGCAACCCTTCCATAGTTGTCAAATTTCATGGGTTTCACCCAACCTACTGAAACTACTTTCAGTGAACATTTTCCAAACTCATCGATAGAAACTGGTGTTGGAACATAGTTCATCATTGTCCAAATGATCTGGGTTACTTGATTATCACACAAATGCAAAATTATCATATTTCTCAGGTGCACAACATGGTTTTCATCGACTGTATTTTTTGAGCAGTTTATATGAAAAGTTGTTATGCTGAGCAGTGTTTAGACGCCTTGGTTGAGATTGTAGTAGGGAGAAATGTCATTAGTTTCAAATACGTCAACATTGTAAAAACTGAAACTCCTGGACACCAACATCAAATGAACCGAGGCTAAGTGGGACTACTGTATATAAGTATACTGTGTCACTAGTATGTAATCATGACGTAGTCTGTCCGGAATCCACGTGAATCGATGGCGTACTTATTATTCGCCTGACACTCGTAATATCCTGCATCTTTTTGGGTTGTTGGATCAATTTCCATTTTGCTTTTCATTGTATCATTTCCAATTGGCCATTCGTGAATCTGAAACGAAGTTTCATTCGTTATTACGCCATGTAGGGTCTCGTAAATGAAATGTAATTTAAATGTAATATAAATGTAATATAAATGTAATGTAAATGTAATGTAAATGTAATGTAAATGTAATGTAAATGTAATGTAAATGTAATGTAGATGTAATGTAGATGTAATGTAGATGTAATGTAGATGTAATGTAGATGTAATGTAGATGTAATGTAGATGTAATGTAGATGTAATGTAAATGTAATGTAAATGTAATGTAAATGTAATGTAAATGTAATGTAAATGTAATGTAAATGTAATGTAAATGTAATGTAAATGTAATGTAAATGTAANTTTAAATGTAATCGTAAATGTGAAACAGAAAAACCGATTTGAGATGGCCCAACTATAAAAGGTCTCAGTACGTAACGATATCATTCAAGATGCGATTTTATTCATTGATCTATTAGTTTTTTTTCAAAGTTTTTATGAGTCTACTGTCAAGTGTAATATCTCACTGAATAATTATTCAATTTAATTGAAATAAGCGCCATTGGAATGGAGAGGCATTGAAGAAGTGAAATATTGAAATTTGGACAAAAATTAACGGCATCATTATACAGTGTGTACGATTTCATACCGCAACCGATTTTGAAAAATAAATATTTCAAATTATAGTACTCGACGAGCTTTATTCAAAGATATTGATAGATTTGGATTTGTCTTATTTCCAAGGCCTACTATGACCTGCTCAATAGGTTTAAATTTCGAGAAGGGCCATTAGGCATTTTTTTATCGAAATAGTGGATAGCCTATTCGATTCGGGTATATTTGAAACCCATAATATCAAGTTTCAGCCCAACATCCCATACAGTACGTTACTTATATGATGACAAATTCTTAAATTCATGATTTTTTCACTGACCCCGTATAACAAACTGTACACTTCGAGGAAAGGTAGAGTAGCTATTGAGATGACAAACACATGAATTATTCAAATAGGTAGTTTTATCATCGTAACAAGTACAGATAGATGTCACTAGTTCAACAAAAAATCAAAAGTTGGAAATGTTTTATCCATATTGTTTGATTTTTTGTTATAATAAATAGTCCATCAACGTTTGTAAAAATATCCCTTTAGTTGGTGATAGCCGCGGTAGCCGCGGAAGAATTCAAAAGAAGATATGCAGATCGTGAACCAATTCACCATACAACCGTCTCCAGAATCAATATGTTATTCAGTAGAACTGGGAGAGTGAGCTGCTGTGACAAAACTCTTCAGAATTGGATAAAGAAACTAGGATTTAGATTTAAAATAAGAAACAAACGTCAAGCAGTTATGGAAAGCAGAAAATTAGTGGAATTGCGTAACAAATACTCAGAACAATTAACTAAATATAGACAAGAACAACGGCCAAATTTTCTATTTGGACGAAACTTGATATGACAGTTACGAAAAGGTGGACTGATGGTTCGAAAATGTGTACGCCTAACATGCCTGCAAACAAAGGATCCCGACTAATCATTGTGCATTGCGAAGTAAGTGAAGGATGGGTTCCGAATTCTTTGAAATCATGTGGAAAAAAACTTGACTGCAATGTTGACTATCATAAGAACATGGATACTGATATTTTCGAGGAATGGTTTGAAAACACATTGGATGCGAATAGTGTAATAGTTCTTGACAACGCTTCCTATCTTTCGCGACGGATCATCAAAGCACCGAATGAAAATTCGAGGAAAGGTGAAATACAAAGTTTTTTAATGAATAACAATGTGTACTCTGAAGATAACTATACCAAAAACCAAATACCTGAAGTTTTACAGATAAAAACATTTGAAAAAGTGTCTGCCCTTGAGAGTATTGCTGAAATATATGGACACACCATACTGAGACTTCGTCCCTATTTTTGTGTTTTCAATCCCATCGAATTGATCTGGGGAAAATTGAAACAAAGCATCAGGCGTGAAAATAATTTTCCAAATTTATTATATATCTCATATATACGTATTATATAGTTATTGTGAGTCTTATATGATCAGAAAAGATTATTGAATAACGATATTATTGAAGGGGAGCTGTTCGAAGGTAGGTTGCACTATATCGTTTACTTGAACTAGACAAAATTTTTTATTAATTAATATATACCATCACAAAGTAGAATATATATTCATTGAGATATGGAGTTACATTAACAGATGACATTTTAACGGACAAAACTTTTGGAACACCCAAATAACCATTCTTTAACTATATGACTATAAATATCAATGACTTACCTGGAAAAATTTGTGATAAATCAGTTCAATTCCGTCTTTGAACCAAGTTATTTCTGGTCTGGGGTAACCTAGAGTTATAAGAGTGTATTATAGGTTTTTTTCAAAATCAGTTGTACCAAATACCTTGTGCCATACAGAAAAAAGTTATTTTCCTGCCTAACATATATTCCAGTTCGAAATGGCTAGCCTTGACAATTTTTGCTCCCTGTAAACAAACGTCATTGTATAAGTTACATGTAGCAAGTGCAACTGAAGTTTGCGTTGAAAATTCTACAAATATTCTGTTCAGATTATTTGAAGATTGTCATTGTCAACATTTCCAGAATATCAGTTGAATAATTCAGATGGAACAATGATAATTTGTGTAAGTATGTGAAAACAAAACTCACATCTTTATTTTCGTAATAATTTTTTGATGCGGGATTTCTGTGTTGTATAATAACAGGCATTCTGGAATTGTACAATCTTCCTCGCCCTCTTCCAACTTTGCCTATAACAAAATAATTCTTGAAAAAATTGTAAATCACATCAATCTTCCACCCCAAGAAATTAATATTATAATGCACGAATTTTATAATGTACGGTGTGTCCAAGACAAGGATGTCTATTGTCTATGATGAGAAACTTTTGATCCACTGTTTGGAACCTTTGGAGTGGTAATGAACAACACCAACCTCAGACTGTTATTTTTAACACCTTGACACGTTTTTCAATCACCATCATCATCATCTTCAGTAATATCCATCATGAGGAACTCAGAAAGAAAGAAGTTACAAGATAGTTGATTTAAAGGTTCGCAGTTTAAGGATTATTGACATGTTGTTGAGCAAACAGAAAAATTTCGATGTTGCAGCTTGCTTCATCGGCTCTATGGACACGTCGAAGGATTTGTAGTGAAACTTGGGGTTGAGGTCCCAAACAAATCCATTGGATTTATGTGATGACTGTCAGACCAATGATCACTTATGGTGCCACTGTCTGGTGGCCGAAGGCTTTACAGAAAACAGCCCAAGCGAATCTCTCTGGCTTACAGAGATAGGCTTGTTTGGCTATCACTGGTGCCATTAGTTCCACATCGTCCGCGACCATGGAGATCCTTCTTGATCTACCTTCTCTCTACATTCTTCTGGAGAGAGAGGCTTGATGGACTGCATACAGACTTGCGCACAAATAAATTTAATGCAGAGTGCAACAGACTGTTGATTGACAGTGGAAGTCACAGCATTCTGGAAATGATCTCTGACTTTATGCCTCCAACTGTCAACTACGAACTGCCTTGTAAAGTACTATTTCCGAGTAGAGAGGACTGGATCCTCCGGGAGAAGGAAATATTGAGTACAGATAGTTGTTGGTTCACAGATGGATCAAAAACACTTTCCGGTTCTGGTGCAGGTGTTTTTAATCGCAGACCCAGGACGGAGATACCTACCTCCCTAGAAACTTATGCGACTGTATTTCAAGCGGAAATTTACGCTACTGAATTGTGTACGAAGAGGTTGAATAAATCCAACCTCACACACAAGTCAATAAAAATATTCTCGGACAGTCAAGCGGCGTTGGAAGCTCTTGGCTCCTACCGAGCAATGTCTAAATTGGTAGCAAATTGTCAAAAACGACTCTCTTCGATAGGAAGACTCAACAGATTGTCTCTTGTCTGGATTCCTGGCCACACTGGCCTGGAAGGCAATGAGGCTGCTGACTCTTCGGACCAGAAAATGTCATTGGCATCGCTTTAGGTTTTGCCAAACAAACATTGAACACCTGGACGGCTAGAAGATTTAGGGACTTCTAGCAGAATCTTCCAGGATTGGCTCACTCCAAAGCGTTTATTCAGCCTTCGAAGCTTGATACCAAACAGTTTTTGGAGTACAGTAGGGATGAACTACGATGTCTTCTTACAGGTCATTGTCATTTGTATCATCATATGCAGAGACTCGAAATGTCAGAAGACAGTGTGTGTCGCCACAGTTTGGAAAATGATGAAACAGCAGAGCATATATGGTCCTCGCTGGGAACCGAATCAGGATTTTGGAGTTCGGCAGAGCCGTACTCTTACCATCTGACCTGAAATACCACTCACCATACAAACTAATCGGCTTCTCTCAAATATGACAACTGAGTGAAATAATCCATAGTAGGCTCTTTTGAGCGTTGTTAAGCTGACCACATTATTTAGAGAGCCCGTACACGAGCCACATTTTGCGATCGGATCCACCACACAATTGCAGTCGCGTTCCAGCGAACTCAAGCCGCCCATAAGAAATACTGTACTACACGTACACGGGCGTTCACAAAAGTCAAAACGGGCGTCTGCAGTCAACTTGTTGCTGATCGCCGAGATGTCATCGCGGCATCCGCCGTACACTAACCACAAACTTGCTAATTAATTCATCAAAAGAACTAATAGACGTGTGTGGAGTAGTAGAAAGCCAAAAACTTTCCCAAACTAATAGATATTCTGAAGTAATTAAAAAAGTTTTTTTCGTCTAGCCGGAGTTTACCGGTTGTTGCTTGTATGTTATTTCATTGTAATTTCAGTTTTTTGTTTAATAAAATTGTTTTTTCTGCTAATCTTTTCCTTACAGATTCTTTCAGGGATTTCAAATCAATTTATATCATATTAGACAATGGAAGTCCAAACTGATGAAATGCACCACGAAACATTGTCAACCACCTTCAAACAAGATATAAAAATTTCCTTCCTGTTGTCGCGCAACCCGAAGTGGATGTACCCAAAACGATCGTACCTTTCTACATCTTCTCCTTCTCCTCAAAATAAGAGGTAGTAGTGGCTCGTCTTCGCATTCCATATTGAAACTGGCACTAAATTCTGACACCACAAAATATAGATGTCAACTGCAAGTGCGATTTATATGACCGCAAGTCGAACACAAAGATGTGGTTGGGTCAACCATACGAAATGCAGTCAACGTGGCCACAATGTCGTGGTTGCCTCAACTGCAAATATGTAGTCCGCGTACGGCCGGACTTAATCGTCTCAGAACAAAGAAAACAGTAGAAACTTCGCTAGTCACAGCTCTGATATGGTCAGACCAGCTCAATCTATTATCAATAACGAATCCTTAAAACTCATACTTTCAGTTGGATGAATATTTGGATAGGAAGATACAATTATATTCAGAGTTATTTTCATTCAGAGTTAGCTTATTGGCAGCAAACCAATTATATGCTGTTTTGCTATCTCAAGTCATTAGTTGTAAGCTGGTTAAGTCTTTGCTAGAACATTTTCGTATCATCTGCATATACAAGGTATATCTTGCTGGCTTTATGAAAGTGCGTAGTTCGTTAATATAGGCCAAGAACAATATAGAACAAGAACACGGAGCGCTGAGGAACGTCATGCGTCAATTTCTTTGAGTTCTGACTTTATGTTGCTCACTTGGAAAAGTTTTGAACTTCATCTCCTGGAATGTTCGAAATACAATAGATATTTAAGAATTTGGAACATTTGTTCAATGACATAAATTGGATAATTTATTTTTGTTCAATTTGTTTTCTTATGCTGAAATTTGTAATTAGTCATAAAGATTTTTACTAATGCCAATGAGAGTTTTCAATTAGTTTTTATTACATGTCCATTTAACGAGTGGGTAAAATTTCAAATAGTGAATTTGGCTCAGTATGAAATTAAATATTATTTAAATACGAATTAAGATCCAACACGTCAACAATATCTTCAAAGTGTTCTCAATTTGATGTACCTTTCGGACAGAAAACCTAAGAGAAATGTTCACGTCAACATTCCCATGTTGTTATGAATTATCGGGTGATTTCAACTCATCGTTTCGGTTTTCTAGCCATCATCCACCACGGCACTAACCACTCCGTACACACATCCGTCTCGAACCCTATTGAAATTTCCTTACCCCTTCCTCCTCCTCTGGCACTTTCACACACATGAACACAAATCACAGCGGTCAATAGGAGCACTAACAACTTCCCGCTTGCCATTTGAACCAATTATATAATCTAGTAATCTAGGACCTAAGACAACGTCGGAGAAATTGAACGACGATATGGAACTTTTCAAAGGTGGTCTATACTCTTGGCGGAGTCCTATGCGAAACAGAGTCGACATTTGATGGTTTTATTTATTCGGTCATTAACTAATTTGCGCATCTCGAAAAGGGGACAAGAATATGTTGTGTGAATATCAATTGTCGCCTTGAAGTTGTTTATTTTTTCTGACGAACACGACGCTTATTTTATGGTCTTTTTGTTTTTCGGAACCTCATTTGGGGCGATGCACACGAGGTACTGACAAAATAAAAAACAAAGTTTAGGAGAATTATTTCTGCATGACGGCATAGATAGTAATGAAATTGCAATTAAATAAAGTTTCAAAAAATATAGGTTGCAAATTATTGATACTTATGTCTATATCAATAATTAATGGGCTTGTTTCATGCTATGGAAAATGATACTAGTTTTCTTATAGACTGATCGAGCTAGGGGTATATTATACTTATCAAGCCTAATCGGTTCCAAAATCTCTTTATATTTGCAGAAAAAAGAATAATCTAGAAACAAAAGTTGTAGGAAATTTGATTCTCTACAATATTCGTAATGAATACAAATAGCGGAAAACCCATAGAAAACGAGATATTTGCAAAAAAAATTCAAAATCTGTTTGTGACCTTGGCCTTTGATTTTTAATAGTCGCGTACACCCTACCACTTAAGACTGGAGGGGCACAAAGGCAATGAGGATGCCGATGTTCTAGCCTGTGAAGGCGTATCCAATGCTATGATTGTCCCAAAACTCTTCTGCGGGGTAGCGAAAGCATGTACAAAGGCATCCATAAACTCATGGATGCAAGCCGGATCGATAGATTGGTGGAATAAGTTCCCAGGAATGAGGCAGGCGAAAGAGTTCATAAAGAAACCATCGCCCAAATTCACGGAAGACCTGCTAAACCACAACCGTAAGGTTTTAAAGGTAGTGGTGGGTTTACCATCTGGGCATAGCCGACTCAGGAAGCATATGAGCAACATGAGTCTGACAGAAGAAACCCAATGTAGGTTATCTCAAGAAGAGGAAGAAACCGCACTGCATGTGTGCAGTGCGGGGGTCAGTGTCAAGGCTATGGAGTCTCATCAAAGAGATCAAGCTAGACAATGAGCTCTAACAACCAAGGAGCTTCACAATAGATCGGTAAAGGTCGCATTGAATCAGCCAGGGGCAAACTTCTTGACAACCTAATCTAATTATGAGTTATTATACACACTCCTAATTATAAAGTGTTTTCTCGGTGAATGTTTTTCAGTTTCATACAATCTGATTTTATTTTCAGGGGCCTGTGGAACGTACCCTTCATCAACTCGGTATACCTGATAAAATCTGCACTTCTGAAAAAATTCGATCGCACTCAACTAAACTTCGACAGAAATAATGTGGATGCTGATATGGCCTTCTGCAGCAATCTTCGAGACTTGGATGTGTTTATGTACGTGTCCAACAGAATCGACTTCGGCCATTTGGTGAATCCAGATACGTTCGATACTACCAGAACCGAACCGGACATGTACCAAATTTTTGAAAACTCGCAGGACTGGGAGAATCGATACATACACGAAGAATATCCAGAAAATTTCAATCCGGACAAAAAGGATCAACAGGTGAGAGGGTTGCCTTCTATGTTTTTACAAACAGCCAATAGATGACACTACTCAATCGATGATAATTTGGCAGAAGCCAACCTCATACATTAACTAATGAAAATATTTCCGGGGAGTTCTCATGAAACACTTGCCTCTCGTGAGCAAGCTGCTGTGCGTCACACAGCTGGTGACTTTCTTGCAGGAGAGGGGTATGCAAGCGGACTAGAATTTGTCATTGGCATCGCTTTTGGTTTTGCCAACCATTTGCGTTAAATCGTACGAACTTTAAAGGCCAGAGGTAGCCAAATTTTATTATTGTTGATTCCCTTTCCTTTCGATTGAAATTATTTCCGTGTTTATGATGTAGACTGAGCCACAGCTATAATAGCTGATGCGGTAAACCCCCCGATGTTGCTAAAAGTCATCTGGAGTTCTCATCTGATCTTAGATTCTCTGTGATAGTTTTTATTGGTTTGAATATCATTAACAGGAAATCGTTTCTCTATTCCGAATTGTTTTGCCGCGCGAAATCAGCTTCGCTACACCCAATCCCTTTGGAAGCAGTTTTCCAATGACTCAATTCCTCCAAGAGACTCTTAGGTTCACAGATGCATCGAGCTACCTCAATTAACATTCAATATCGTCCCTCTTATATCGTGGATGGTGACAGGAGGTCTTATTCAAATTTTGCGTTAGTGTCCTTTACACTCTATTAGCCAATGTTTCATCTTCACGTAAGTTCACAAGTACATCCAAGCAGGCGATTGTTTGTTAAGTTTCTCCAAGGTTTCGTTGTTGGTTGGATTTTCGTGTTGAGGGATATGAGATACGGGAGACATCCATTTGGTTGTTCTTCACCGTGCTGCCATAACATAAACGAATCATCAATGTTACGTAGCCACTGGATTACTTAAACTGCCAGAAGTTCAGACTTCTGGAAAAATCTACCAGGATTGGCCCATTCTTAGGTATTTATACATTCTTCGAAACAATTGTCTATCTGCTGAAGGGATGGCCTATATATTGTCAAATAGGCATACTTTGGCGGAAAGATCAGGCGTACCGTCTGTTTGAAAGATAATGAAGCAGCAGTGCACATACTTTGTGTCTGCACCACCTTGGACCAAATCAGGTATCCATTGTTCAGAAGTTGGACTTTTTTAGTGGAATTTGAAGTGGTGTAAGTCACATTAAACCCTTGTGGGTTACAGTGGAGCGTCTGATAGACCCACACTCATTTTTAACTTCAATTTGTTGTGGCCGTACGTCCCTTAGTGATGAATCTAGTAACGGGCCACCAATATAGGTTGTGGTTATAGAAAACATCAATGTATGAAAGCAAGATGCGTCTCTTGGCACATCACAGACTGCAGCAATACATTTAATTTTTCATTAACATTTAGCAATGAAAAAGACGATTAAAAAATGGTTTTTCTGAATTAGTGTTCGGAAATGCTCATAAAACAACTTGGAAACTGCAAAATCCGTTTACAACATTATTATATGTGATGAAATATGGATATAAGTATTCGTATGAACGGAAACTATAAGTAGAGTCTATACGAAAGTAAATCCGAACAGCTAAATAAAAGACTAATGTACTCTTCACTTCTAACAATAAAATCCGTGTCGGTTTAGGATAAATACTACCTATTAATTTTGAAAAAAATTATACCACGCCGCCCATGCCATACAAAGAAACGGCCGACGTTCGGTAACTATTTACTTCTTATGCCATTCGAATTGACTTCGTATATACAATAACAAGCCACTGTTTGGGTATATCTAGCTGAGCCAAAACCCACACTCAAAATTATTAGCTCACAAAGCTTTTGTTACGTTTTCACCGTGGGTTTGACAATAATTGACCACATTGTACTCCATACAAATTTTCAAATGTATATTGCCTCACTTCGTAGGTACCGCACTTTCAACTAGACTAACTCCATCCTCCATCTGCCTGTTGGTAGTGTTTATATATCCTAATGAAAGTCTCTTGGAAACGCCCCACCTAGAACTAGCGAGAAATGCGAGTTGCGTTAGGCGCGACCTTGACTAAGTCACAGTAAATCGACGAAAACCAACGACGGTCGGCGTTATTTTTTTGTCAGGGGATAATTTACAACACACTTAGACGCGGCACCTAGAACTATCGAGAAACGCAGGTAGCGTTGGGCGCGACCTTGACCAAGTCACAGTAAATCGACGAAGACCAGCGACGGCCGGCGTTATTTTTTTATCAGGGGATAATTTACAACACCCTTCTAAGAAAATGATCATTTGGAATTCAGATTTACTTTCCTTCAGATACACCTACATCATTTATAGTGTACAATTACCATCATTTATGATTTCTGCCTGTTTCAGCCATGTCCTGATGTTTACTGGTTCCCTATCGTTAGTCAAAAATTCAACAAGGCACTGATCCACATGATGGAAAGTTTCGGCAAGTGGTCGTCTGGTAAAAACCAAGATGATCGTTTGGAAGGAGGATATGAAGCAGTTCCAACCAGAGACATACATATGAACCAAGTCGGATGGGAGCCCCACTGGCTTCACTTCCTTCAGAAATATGTCAGGCCGTTGCAGGAGAAGGTGTTTCTGGGCTACTATCATGACCCGCCCAGATCTCTCATGAATTTTGTAGTTAGGTGAGTTCTATTCCGAAAAGTTAAGTAGATTGATAATGAAGTGTGTTATGAGTAGAGTTGCAATTATAATAAATAAACCAGTACGTAGCTGAACGAAAGGTGCAAAATCCTACCGACAATAATTTAGGCTTACTCAGAAGGAAATGCATGGCCCGTTCCTATGCTAGTCATAGCTGTAGGATTTAGAGGAAAGACAAAGCTCAACTATTTTTGCCATTGATAACTTCATGCATGATAATAAGTATTCAGATGTTAGCCCAGCAATTTTAGTGATAAATTATCACCATGAGTTTTTTTTTATTTACAGAAACTCACATCCAAGTCTGCTAAATTCTATTTCCCAAAGTGTTAAATTATTCTTCATACATTCGTCACCGATTTTGAATCCTCTCCATCAAGTTTTATCTTCCCTACTCATATTATCTTCCACAGGTACCGACCCGATGAACAACCATCACTGAGACCCCACCATGACAGTTCAACCTACACCATCAACATAGCATTGAACGAAGTTGGCACTGACTATGAAGGTGGTGGATGCAGATTCATACGGTACAACTGCAGTGTGATCGGTACAAAACCGGGTTGGATGCTGATGCACCCTGGTAGGCTGACACACTATCACGAGGGTTTGTTAGTTACCAAAGGCACTAGATACATAATGATTGCTTTCGTTGACCCGTAGAGGAGATGCGTGTTGTGATAGATCCGTTGAAGTTGGTGAAGGAACTGGTTTTTCGAAATTTTTCGTATTGTTTCAAAATAGGAGAACTAATTTGACTTCTGTAATCAGTTTCTTCCATGGAGGGTCAAAAATAATGGCATTTTAGGTTTGTGACAAAATCTGTGTTCCTTTTTATTGGTTAATTAGTCCCGGTGTTTTTTTGTAAATACCTTAAAAAAATATCATTCATAGCTTTTATCCATATATTTACTGCCACAGCTGTTGTAACAGATTTTAACAAGTAAGATAGACTGAATATTTGATTCTGTAATACTAGATCTGATTAATTCTAATGTGAGTTATTTTTTCTACAGTGCAATTTGTAAATGTAAACTAATAATAAATTAGTTGGAATAATCATGGTTTTATTTCCCCATAAAAAAAAATATATTCTCAAAAAAGCGAGCAGTAGAAGGAACTAATGCAGAAGCTTCAAATGGAATCATTCCTCTCCGGCAGAAAAGAGTACTTAGAAATGTTTCATGTGGTGAAAAAGATGGGTATGCCAAAAGAATTCAATCAGATGGTGCACAAGTTGAATTGGGAGTTCCACAAGGAGTGTTTCTGTTTCAATGATATTCTCCTTGTTTATGGCAGGCACAGTTGATTTCTAGTTGAATGATATCACACTTTATGCACATGACTATTCCATTTGAGTGTGTAACGCATTCAATCTTTCTTGAAACCCTCCCATATTATGGCGAAGGAGCTAATTTGCTGCAATCCTATTTATCTGAAAGAATGCAGGTCGTTGAGCTTGAAAGAGGTCTCCGGCATTGAATGTAATAGCAGGGGTGCCCTACGGGTCTATCTTGGGGCCTCTTCTATTCGTACTATATGGTAATGAATTTCCACACTACATGAGTCCTTTTAACACCATTTAACACCATTCAGTATGCTGGTGATACACGTTTTATGATAGTAACTCTGATCATGAATAATCTAAGGACAATTGATAATTAATACATTTTTTGCAGTTAATTACCTATTTGTGTTTAAACATAGAAAAAACTGAGAGCTCAATTGGGAAGTCTGCATCAAATATATTTCCACTCAACTATCCAGTGGTGTTTACCTGCTTCATTGTATGACTGAATTTGTTATATTCTATATTTTTAAAGCAGCATCTAAGGTATCTTATAGACTTTTTCTGGAAAAATCAACTGATTGGGAGGGGGACTTATCCTACAAAAAAATGGCCTTAAAATATTGGGCAAAAGCAAACTGACAGCTGACAAAAAAATGTATACTCGTGACTATTCGAGCCTTATATATATATTCCAATGTCTTGTCTACATCAAAACATTACTTCAGTGTCTTTGGGGGGCGTCATTAAATACTGTTTTTGTATCACAAAAGTGTGGTGTTAGATATATGTTTTAGGCGAAACCCAGAGAATGTTGTAAACCTCTATTTATATCACAGAAATTATTGACAACCACATTGACAAGCAAACTATCTTTGCTTCAACGGAAATAAAACCAAAATCCTGACCTTCAAGTTCAATTATGAAAATCTGACCTTGAATGAACAAATCATAAACAACAATACCAGCATAAAATTCTTAGGTATATACATTGATGATAAATTACGATTTGATGACCATGTAAGGACCGTAAACAAAATCCTAGCCTCGGGCTGCTATGCAATCAGAGTTATCACTACGGAACTCGGAACAAAGGCAGGCAGAATGGCTTACTTTTCTCTCATTGAATCACACTTAATGTATGGCATTTCGTTCTGGGTTTTTTGCTGTTATCAGCTAATGAGCTTAGTATTTGTCTTACAAAAAAGAGCTCTCAGATATTTATGAAAAGCTAAGTCCAGGGATCACTGTAAACCACTTTGTATAAAACATGGAATTCTGACCCTATACAGTATTTTTATCCTTGAGACAGTGTGCTTGATGCATAAGAAAAAATCCAATATGACAATTGTAACACCATATAATACTCGTCAAAAAGACGACTTACCCGTACCGCTACCAAAAACGACATTAACCAAACACTCTCTCATATTTGAGAGTAAAAAAACTCTTCAATCATCTGCCGAGCCAAGTAAAAAATATATCATGCCCGAGAATCTTTCGGAAAACCGTCAAAAGAATATTTTTAACTAAAGGATACTACAGCCTGCAGGAGTATTATAGTGACAGTATCTTGGGCTAACTGTAGCTTTTTGCATTTTATCTATAAGATTAAATTATCTGTATTCTATATTTATGTGTGATTTCATTGAAAGATGAAAAAAAGGAATTGATTTTATATATTTGTACTTATATATTTTTATGTTTTGTTTTTTTTACAACTAGACCAAAGATATATGTATTATCTATTGTTTATATCTGCAAATTTTAACCATTTTAAATAAATCACTGACAAATTAATAGGCATATACTATTGAATTGTACATGTAAACCATGCTTTGTCAACAAGAGTCTTTCCTCTTAGGCAATAAAGTACATTGATTGATTATTAATACTGAAGAATACCTGAATGATTATCAAAAAATGTTCGGAAATTCGCTGTGGCTAAGAACCAAACTAGGTAGAATAAATATGTGATATCATTGTGAATACCTAAACACATTTTAAAAAAAGGCATTAAATGATATCAACATAATGGTAAAACTTGCCAATACATATTCAATCTATATCTAGCCCTAAGAAATTCAGGAAAGGACTGATAAATGTTTATTGAAAGATGAAGCTCACTACACCACTACACATGTTTGGAAAAAAATCGCAAATAGTTAAATTTCAGTACTACTGTTGTTGATTTGTAAATTCTACTATTTCACTTTTTCATTGTTTTGAGATGTACCTTTTATTGTATATCTGTGATTATATTCTATCATCAATTTTTTGTATCAATAGTGTATTTATATTGAAATGTTTCAACTTCGTCAGCAACAAATTACTGATTTTTCAGACAAAGTTTTTTCTCTCTCTTAAGGAACATGAAGTGGTTGGTAACATTGAAAATCTGATTCCGAGAAAGACAAATCTACTCTATGAATATGTCTGGAGTTTTATCCCAACACCAAACAGTAATTGTAACACCTCGACACATGTTTCAGTCACCAAGTGATCATCTTCAATTTTATTTTCCTCTTGAAGATGAACACTTGGTGATCAAAACAGGTATCGGGTGTTAAAATAACAGTTTGGTGTTGGGATAAAACTCCAGTAATATCCATCACTACACCAAAGTTTCCAAACAGTGCATCACAAGTAAATTTACTCTACTTAACATGAAATAATAATTCGCAAATATATAATTGACGTTTTTAATACTGCTTGCGTATCAATTTGTTGACATCATCAACTATTTCAATGAACATCTAGACTTCATTCTGCTTGATATAATTAATAATTTCATATCCGTCATTCCAAACAAACACATCTGACTTTACATCTCTACTTTTGCCTTCTTCATCCTTATATGATCCATCTTTTGCTTTTGCAACGATCTCGGCACATTTATATTCAGCTCGAACACAAGCTAAATCTCCCTCCCCTAGCCTTAGTATCGGGCAAAAGTCATTGAGCCCATCCCCACAGTACAAAACTCGTTCGTATGGCAATCCTCTTTCTTGTTGTTCTTTGAGGAACTCCTCCATGATTTGTCCCTTGCATAAGTTTCTTGTGCTAAGCTTGCAAGACTCTTGCAGATGATACATACTGATTTTCAGTAGATCATTTTCGAAATGTGCTGGATTTGTAAACACTCCAGTTATGTACTTCTTCATATCATTAGCATCGAGCCAAGTGTTAATGAAGTAGGAATTTGAATCGCTGATGATGATCACATCATAGTTCAGGTTTTCATGAAGTTCTTTTATCAATTCTCTCATGCCTTTTACTTCTTGCAGGGTCTCCACGAGTTTTCTTATGTTTTCCTCTTTGATTTTGTGCTTGTGTAGAGTTTCAAAAACGCCTTGCATGAAAGCAGTCCATCCGTCCGATCTGTGTAGCAATTTTATCTCTTTTGGGATTTTTTTTGGGTCAATCAAGTTCATAACCGCTACATCAGAATTTTCATGGATGATAGTATGGTCAAAATCAAACACTGCTAAGTTTTTTGACATCTGGAAAATATTAAGAAACCCAATTTAATAATATCACTGGTAGTAATACTTCGCCTGGCTTTGTTGTCCATGAGAACAGTAAAATCAATTTAGGTTTCAGTGGATATTCCACAGAGCTCTATTTTGGGTCCTGTGTTTGTTATCTCTGTATATAACTAAAATTTGTTCAGTGACATATGGAAATCAGCGTGGAAAATGAATGTAATAGGGGTAGTTTTTAGGATGAATAACAGGATTTCCCAAAACTTACTGCTACCCAATCAAATAAAAATCATTATTGAACGTTTCATGACTATTTCAAGATTTGAGTTTATTTATTGTACCATTCTGATGGATGACTTCTTCACTGATTATTGGATTGTAGGTAGATAATTGTATTTTACTTTATATTTTAATAAAAACTGTTTTTTTTTTTCAACACTGAATCTTACCCCATATATGTCAGGTAATCAAATGATCAAGATATTAACCACATGAATATATAAAATTACAGTGATAAAACCTCAACTAGAAATTTCAACACTGAATCTTACCCCATATATATCAGGTAATCAAATGATCAAGATATTAACCACATGAATATATAAAATTACAGTGATAAAACCTCAACTAGAAATTGAAAATTACTCTTGATTAATTACACATATGAATAGGAAGTTCTAACATGACATCCACTAGAGAATTGTACACAAAATAAAAACTCATTGAGTAATAGTTAATTTACAAAACTGAAAGTGTGAAATTATAATTCTTGTTAATAAGTAAAACAGATTAATATGTTACCGACAAATGTTTGTCACCAAAAGTACAAATATGTACAAAACTAAAAGTTTGCTCTTCTCCACCTGCATAAAATTGTTATTTCGATTATTTTTTCCTCAATAAATTGTGAAGGATGCAAATTTCACAAAATTAAGAAGTCAAAAAAATTATAAACTTCCGTAAATTTATACAAAAGTCTTAAAGGAATAAATATGAGTATCAGTGGAAAAACTTCTACTATGATATAAGTGATAAGTAAGACTAAATAAATAACAAGATGAAAATTAAAGTCAAGATGGTTTTTTTTCATTAACCAGCAGTCATCCCGTAACAAACGACCCTCTGAAGTTAAAACTTGTGCGATCCAAGGATTAACGAGGTCTTTATCCTTTAAAGTGCGATTCACAGCAAGGAAATATTATTAAATTTTCAGTTATTTATATATCAACCAAAATCTCAAGGTAATACTTCGAATTTACTTGTTAATTTAGGGGAAGCATTAAATTTTTATAGCACCAATTTAAATTTCAAAACAAAAATATACACACTATCACCACAAAATTCTTACCTTATTTTTCCAACGCTATCACTCACTAAATTTACGTATTGTTCTAGCTAGTGGTCAGATTTATTAATGGTATCCAAATTATAATAAAACCCACTAGATGGAAATAATCCAATTCCTTAGCAAAAGAAATAATATAAAATACGATTGTGGAAATATGCCAAAAATTCCTTGATTTATTAGAGGAAAGGATCCTATTTCAAATCGAGCAAATGAACCTATGTGCTGTTACTTCACCACAGGTTTTAATATTTCACAAAGACAAATGATTTAAACTCGAATGAGCTTTGGCAGTAGGCAAAGGTATTTATTAATCATCCAATAAACCTGTCATCAGTTACAAAAAAAACAATGCTCAGGTGATTGTTACAAACTTTTGACATTTTTTTCTATCTTGACCTTTTCAAATGGGATGATCACAATGTTCGTTGTTTACATCTTTAACATATTGAGGTTATGATTCACTTCATTTTTTTACGTCCATGTTAAAAACACAGTAGAATAATACAACATAAAAACTCATACAGGTGCCAAAACAAAGAAGGACTATGAATCATGAGACCCAAGGAGACGATAGGTGTGATATCTTAAATGAAATCAATGGACAAAAATTTCCAATGTTCCTACAAATTCAACGAGTGCCCATTCAAAATTTCTGAACTCTGAACGGTTTTGACAATTGAATTGTATATTTGCTTCCTTCATCAACGTTAAACTAAATTATTCAAATGAATACAGTAACATTTGTACAATTTATAAAAAATATTTGCTTGAATTTCATTCTTGAAAAATATTTGTTTATTTCAAATAATTTCGCGCCTAAACATGGTTCCAATAAAAATTCGTATATCTTTGTTCTGTGATTTCTTTGAGAACATTTTTGGTTCTGTGTAATTTTTATGCCTCGGTAGTGATTGATATAAAAAATCTAAGGTTTCAAATATTCAAAGAACATCAGGTTTTGATCTGGTATTTCATACTGTTTAAAGTTTATTGTATTCCTTTAAAAATGTCCTTGTAGGACGAAAATGCAGTAACTATAACGTTACTGCATTACAAATGGTATAAAAACATTGGATGTTTTGATTCTCATTTTTCAAGAATATACATTCAATCGAGATTCATCCCATTCAACAATAATAATTATGTAACAAAAAAGATTCAGGCTCAGAGGCTAGTTGTACAGTAGTTATTATTTAAGTTAGTTTACCTTAACTAATATATTGAAATGTATACAAATAGACAGTACTTACACTCTACATCAGTAGGAAAATATGGGATTGTGATAGAGGTCGAGAAACTAGAAAACTAGATCATGTTTTATCTTCTTCACACAGCAATTTTTTGAAAAATATCATTTACCTTTTGAGGAATTGAAAGAAACTGTTGAATCATTACTGCCAATTTGAAAAGATTGTTCATCATTTTGGAAGAATTACACATATTTTAGTTACATCTGAAGACATAATCAAGATATAACTATCTCAATGAGTACTTTTTCCAACATCGCTTGAAGTTTTTTGTCGATGTCACTGTCTGTTTCGAACGCACACTACTAAATAATACAACATTGCATTGTGATTCCAGTCCCTCCATTTAATAACTGTCGATAAAATAGGACGCCTAACCATTTATTTACCGATCGTTCACAGTTAGTTATGATCAACCAATGAGCGTTAGCTTTTTTTGAAACTTTTTCAACTGCCACTTTGTGGAAAAGACTTCTTTCATAAACGACATAAATTCTGTCTCAGACAAATACTTGCTCAAGAGTTTAAAAATATTCAAATTAGTGTAGATTTAGTTAGTGATATCTAGTGAAAATGTCTAAAGAAGATGATGCAGCAACGCAAATTATTCCAGATAAAATTTTTGACACCCATACCAGAACTGAGTACAAAAAAGGACGTTTCTTCGGCAAGGTAACGATCTTTCCTTATATACCTCCACGTACCTGGTACATCTTAGACCCGGTTTATTTATAAAAGGCAAAGCTGAAATCAATTTTGTTTATTATGTCTTTTAGGGGGGCTTTGCAAAATGTTACGAGATTACAAACGTTCATAATAATTTGTCCTATGCTGGAAAAATCGTATCTAAAAAGTTGATGGCCAAGGAAAATCAGCGGGACAAAATGATACAAGAAATCCAGATTCACAAAACGCTCTGCCACAAAAATGTTGTGGGCTTCTACAACTTTTTTGAAGACAGTCACAATATTTATATAGTTCTAGAATTGTGTAGGAAGAGGGTAAGTGTTCTTAGCAAAATAAGTTCTCGAATGTTTACATGAATGGCTTAGTTCTTACTCACTTTAATTAAATTCCTCGATAATCAATGCTAACCCCTCCTGCTTGAAAATTTGAGTCTCCCGATCAAATTTAACTCTGAATCAATCAACTCTAATAAAGAGGCAATTGTTCCCTTATTAAAAGTTTAATGCACACTGTATCAAAAACCTTTGATGAGTCAAAAAATAGTGACAAATCTTAATGCTGATGGCATGCAATTATATTTTTAATTTCACTGTAATAGTCTACAAGAGGCAAAAAAGATATTAAACGTGACCTTCAGTCATTGTTTGGCATCTCATTGATTAAAATTGAATTGAAAAATGTCGAATAAATTGAAACTCACTTGTTATCACATGTTATCAGTACCTAAAAACAGAACAGAATTTCTTCTAGTATGTAGTTTGTTGTTGTTTTCTTCTATTATGTACTGACGATGAATACAATTGGTTATAATTTGTTGAAAACACTTCTCATACCAGAACAAAAGTACTGAATAGAGAGAGAAAAGTGTAGGAAAAGTATTTCAATAGATTTGTTTTATTCCAGAGATCCCATTTCTAATTACAGGTTTTTTTTATCTTTGTATTGTTTTCATTTGTAGTCCATGATGGAGCTTCATAAACGTCGAAGGGCATTAACAGAGCCCGAGACCAGGTTCTATATGAAACAGATATTAACTGGTGTTCACTACCTCCACCAGAATAGGATAATCCACCGTGATTTGAAATTGGGTAATTTGTTCTTGAATGACGATTTGATAGTAAAAATAGGTGATTTTGGGTTGGCGGCTAAAATCACTTACGATGGGGAGAGAAAAAAGACTCTTTGCGGTACTCCAAACTATATAGCGCCGGAGATACTCAGCAAGAAGGGACACTCGTTCGAAGTAGATATTTGGTCGATAGGTTGCATTATGTATACTCTGTTAATAGGAAAACCTCCATTTGAAACTAGCAGCTTGAAAGAGACATACGCTAGGATCAAGAACTGTGAATACAAGTAAGTCAATTCGTTATTAGTTACTATTTATTTTGATGTCACCTTTTGAAGGATATCTCCAAAAATATCAGGATATGCTCAGCAGATGATTATGTTGATGCTCCAGTCTGAACCTAAATGTCGGCCAAACGTGGAAACATTGTTGCATCATGACTTTATTGTCAATGGTTTTTGTCCAACCACCTTGCCTGTGAGTGCCCTCACAATGGCTCCTAGATTCGATAAAATTGATACTTCAATTAGAAAGCCTTTGCTGGAAATTAATAACGGTGAGTTTTCTTGAATGAAATTAGTTTAACATCACCTTTAAAAGATGCTTTTTTTTATTCAGTGTATGTGATTTTGCTTTTGATTTGCAACATTTGTATGTTAATTTATGTTTGTAACAGATACATATTTAAGTAACGCATCTTATGTAGATTGTCGATCGAAAATTATTGTATATTTGAAGTGTGGCATCTTATCCCATATTCTGCATATTCTGACTTTGAAAGTCAACTAAATTGAAGTTACTTGTACTTGTAGAATTTCTGTTGAATTCCTCAGAGTGTTGGGGCCACAATAGAATTTAAACAGGCTTTTCTGAGGTATTCAGTACTTGATATACAACTACATATAAATATGACAAGAAAACATTGAGGCTACCAAATTATAATTATAAATGAACGTGAAAGGAACCATCAAATACTAGAATAAAAGTATATCTACCGTCGAATCTCAAGGAGCAGTCCAATCGAAAATATGTGTTACAGAAGAAATCTTACCAACTTTTTGTCACCCACTTACAACTTCTTTAGTGATTCTGCTGGCGTTGATGATAATTTTTGAACACCCCATAGATAATGAATGAGTGAATGTTACTCAAACTATCATGATAGCATTAGCACTATCATTTGACATTAGTCAAACAGTATGAGTCTTGACATTTCAGTTTTCTTAGCTTAACCTGCAGTTTTTGTATGACCTTTTTCCCAAAAAATTGTAGACATCATACATAACATAATGAATAGTGTGTATCAATACAATAGTAGCAAACAAGTTTGTGGTGTCCCTCGTTTGTATATTATTGGATTTGACCTGCTTGGTAAAATTTTTTCTTCTCACAATTCAAGCTCGCTACCTTTTAGACTAACTTAGGCTATTTTCTCAATAGATGAGGCTACTTTCAACCAATAATTCTTTGTCATGTATCATCATCACCCTCACAAAGCATTTTTGTAAATTACAGTCATAACTTTTTTAGATTTCTTTGTATGATGCATCTTATCAGGTTCTTGATTCTTTTTGGAAAATTGAAAACGTACAACTATTTTTTTAGTATGGAATGTTGATTAAGCTTTCCAGTGAAATCCTTGGCAAAAATGTTGCTACAAATTCTCTAGAATGCTTACTATTTTTCAATATTATTGGGTTATACAAAGTCTAGGTGAAAAGCTTCAGAAGTACGGACAGCTGACATTTTGTTTCTTCTTTTGAATCAATTGCACCAAATTTGCAAAATAATTTTCCAAACAAGAAACCTGTGCACTCAATCAATATAATATTATTAAAACTTCATTTTTATTTTGTGATACTAAGAAATATTTGACAGTTTTGAAAAAATTTTGATGAAACGAGAGAATAGAAGTTGTTGAATCTTATATATAACGATATACTAATATGATTGATAATTTTATAGTTATAAAGGTATTTTGAATCTCAAATGAATGTATTTTGAATAAGTTGTATGTTTTTATTATTAATGTATAAAAGGAATTCCTATTTAAATTTAAATTTTTCAGTGTAATAGTGAAAAACTGTATGTTTCTTGTAGGTGATGTTATGATGGTTTCACCCCACAAAAAACATGATTCCATTGCTGCAGGATTAGCAGGTGGTATAGTCACATCCTCTTCTGCAACTTTCACATTCGATGCTAGAGCCAATTTCATGAAACTGAAATCGATGTTGGTAAAGGTGAGTTGTTAAAAATCAAAGGACAGATTAACAAGTTAAAACACCTTTGACACGTTTTTTTGTTTACTTGGTTTCATTACTCTTTATAAGAATAAAACTACAAAGATTATACCAGGCATCATACATGTGTATAAAACTTTTACTAGTCAAAAAAAAAGAAGGTAACCACAAATGAATTGTTAAGATAGTGTATATCACAAAACAAACAAAAAATTATGAATACAATAGTCGGTTTCACAATAGCAAGGGATTAAGAAATATAAAATTCCTCAATGTTATGAAACAATACTTTCTCAAGATGGAAATTTCTCAATTTATTTTTGAATAGAATATCAATCAGATTAACATCTATTATGTATCTTATTTCATTGAAACATTGATGCCAATATGCTTTGGTGTATCATACCTAGTATCATACATATGAGTGTCTCCATTCCTCATTAGTTCATTTTGCTTTTTTTATGTACATATTCAGCTCAAGAATATAAAAACATGGAATGGTTAGTATGTGGAGTTTCTTGATCAAAGATTTACATGTTGTTTTTGGATGAGCAGGAGACATTGTTCTCATTATCGTTTTTGAGATACAAATGCCCTTTCAAAGTGACAAGAGGAACCTCAAATGATCACGGCACATTTCAGAATATACTGAACAATCCCAAAATGTAATAATTTCAGTATCACGCAGATTTGTTATTATATAGCATGTAGTGCTCAGTTTTGAACATACAGTGCTTCTCATGTTAGCTTACTATCCAAAGTAACACCTAAGAACTTGATGGTTTCCATAGACTGTATAGATTGACCAGATAAGTTTGCTCATAATTTGTTTTTATGGTTTCTGGTAAAAACCGAACATAATTGGTTTTGTTCCTATTCAGGGTGAGACCAGTTTCAAGGCTATATCTACCAATTTCATTAGATACCTTGTTGCTTAATTTTGTTAATTGTTCAATGTTCTTGAATGACATCAGAATATTAGTATCATCAGTATATATTACCGTTTGTGTCACTCAGAAAGGCTATGCACAATAGTGGTCCCATGATTGAACCCTGTGTAACCCTTATTTTTATTATTCTTGTTTTGATTTCACATTATTCACTACTGTTGCCTTTGTTCTATTTGTTAAGTATGATGTTATCCATTAAAGCAGAACACCCCTCTCTCCTAACCCTTCCAATTTCATGATTAACAAATTATGGTCAATAGTATCAATGATAAATGATGATTGGAAGTTTCGATTATATATTTATACTAGCTGTTGCTCGTAACTTTGTATAAAAATGACAAGCTGCATTAGCTATAGCTAACGGCCATCATTAGACAATTCTCACCCTTTTGAGGCATTCTACAATTGGTTATTAGAAATTTTTAACAAATTATTTCCTCTACAAAAAATCCAAATAAAAAATAGAAAACCCTGGTTGACTAAAGGTATTAAAATCTCTGCCTGTGAACCTAAGATCATTACATTATATAAGAAAATTTATTGATCCCAACCAAACTTCATTTATCAATTACTATAATAAATATAGGTCAATTTACAGAGTTACTTTGAAGCATGCTAAGCAGATCTACTACAAACATAGACTAAATATAGCAGGAAATAAATCTAAGGAAAGCTGGTCCTTTATCAACGATCTCAGAGGAAAGTCCAATAAACATTCATCCGAAGTAGGCTTGGATCCCAATTTATTAAATAACTTCTATCGCACCATAGCGGACAAACTCACCGAAAATATATCATCAACTGTTAATCCCTTAAATTTTCTTTCCAATATTGACATATCAGAAAGTTTCTCCCTCTATGAAACAAATCCCGAGGAAATAATAGCAGTTATCAAAAATATCAAAAACAAGAATAGCAAAGGTATAGACGATATTTCTGTTAAAATTTTTGAATATCTACCTCATTCAACCTTAGTGGTTTTATCACAACTCATAAATCAGCCTTTTGAATCTGGCAAGTTCCCATCGTTTCTGAAGACATATCTGATGATCCCTTTGTATAAGGGTGTACCCAATGATGACCCTTCCAACTTCCGGCCTATAGCACTTATTCCTACCCTTGCTAAACTCATAGAAAAACTAGTGAAAAGCAGAATTTTATGTTTTTGCAATGATAATAACATCCTTACTTCTCGTCAATTTGGATTCCAAGCAAATAAGGGTACTAGTGATGCTATGTTCTCTCTGTTAGAAACGATATACTCCGAATATAATGCTAAAGAAGCAGTCGCTGCTATTTTCTGTGATCTATCGAAAGCTTTCGACTGTGTCAACCATGAGATCCTTCTTAATAAGTTGCAACAGTATGGCTTCAGAGGCAACACTCTCCACTGGTTTCATTCGTACTTATCAGGTCGCAAACAACCGAGTGTTCCTCTGCTCAAACTATCAAATGTGGTGTACCACAAGGATCGATCCTTGGCCCAATTTTGTTTCTTATCTACATAAATGACTTAGCTTTTATAGATATAACGGCCACAATTACTCTCTTTGCTGATGACACCACTTTATTATGGCACAATAAGGACATTCCTACCCTTCAAGGTGCCATCTCAGCTGACATCAACAAAATCAAAGAATGGTGTGACTGCAATAAGTTATCATTTAATATCAATAAAACTAGCATACTTACTTTCCACTGCAACTTACCTGAGATCTGCCTTGGTGACAAAATCTTAGACAGGGTACATAATTATAAATTTCTAGGGTTGAACATTGATGATAAACTCTGAAATTTAAAAATCACACAATAAACTCAAGCAAGAAGCTTGCCTCAGGTTGCTATGCACTAAGAGTGATTTCTAGAGAACTAGGCTACTCCCATTCAAGAACAGCTTATTTCGCCCATATCAAATATGGAATTGCCTTCTGGGGAGTCTGTTCTAGAAATTTATTTCAAATGATTTTTGTGCTTCAAAAAAGGGCTGTCCGATATATGTGCAAAGCAGCTCCCAGGGATCCATGCAAGCCTCTTTTCATAGCTCACGGTATTTTAACAGTAGCTGCCCTGTTTATCTTGGAATCAATTTGCTTGATAAAAAAAATATTCTTGTGCATCTCCCCCTTCCTCATATAATACTCGTAGCCACAATAGTAACATAGATCTGCCTATTCCTGCGAGCTCCCTTGTTAGGGATTCAATTATATTCAACGGGATCAAACTGTTTAACCACTTACCAGCCCGTATTAAAGAAATTATAGTGTTTAACAAATTCAAAAAAGCAGTTAAAATGCTACTTGTTGATAGGGCCTATTATTCAGTTCAGGAGTATCTTGACGATTCACTTGAATCTTAACTCTTATTTCTATGTCTTGTTATTTCCAGCTGAATATCTCAGTGTATTTCACATTTTTAGCTTATGTTTATTGTATTTTGTTTAAATTGTGTATGTTTTTTATGTAGATTTTTGTATCTTACATGTTATTTATGACTTTGTCTACAAGATGTAGTTCTTCAGACAATAAAGTATATTTGATTGATTGATTTATTGATGGAAACGGTTGTATCACATGGGAACTCCTGTTTCACTCATAGTAGATCACTACAGGTCTTTGTTAACATTTCAGGCACTTTGTAACAGTTTATTCAATTTTTTACGCAAAACTTGATACAAATTCTTTAATCCATTTGTTTCAACAACTGAAAATCACCGAGCCCTTAGAAAAACCACGTCTAATCTTAGCGTCTGCCATGGACAAAATAAACAATGCCAACAGCTGAAAATTTCATCACATTTCAGGGGCATGTAGAAAAAAAAAATTGAAATTCGGACTCTCCAAACCTGTGAAAATTAAAAATTTTCCGTTATTTTCTGAATATACCTCGTATACTCTATTCTAAGGACTATTACTTTCTAGGTTTTGAAATCGAAACCTGCCAGAAACCAAAAATACCTGGATGAAATGTCAGATCCTGCTGCCCAACCAACAATCTGGGTCTCCAAGTGGGTGGATTATTCCGATAAATATGGATTCGGTTATCAGCTGTCTGATGAAGGAGTCGGAGTCATGTTCAACGACACCACTAAGCTCATAATGTTACCAAACGGCATGTGAGTATACAGAGGGAGAAAAAAGTTTTTTTGCGAAATTCTCGTTTTTATTTTAGTAACGTACACTACGTGGACAAAAACGGCGATGAGTCTTACATGACGGTTGACAACTACCCCAAGCAGTACGATAAGAAAATGAAGCTCCTCTCGTACTTCAGCAGATACATGCGGGAGCACCTTCTCAAGACTGGAGCTGCGGTTGTGAAAGAGATTGATTCGATCTCTCGAACCCCTCATCTTTACCAGTGGTGTAGGTCTACTTCTGGAGTTTTGATGCAGTTAAATAATGGAACGGTGCAGGTGAGTTTGAAAATCGAATGTTTTTTGTCAGTTTCGAGATTCAGGGAATCGGTTACCCTCACTAATCAATTAAGAATGGTAAGGACATCTAGCGAGATTTAAATCGGACATAACCTTGAAATTTATCGAGACAAATAGGGGCGGACCTTATTTCCTTCAAACGATCGCGAGAAGACGTACTTACCGATTCGTTAATTGATGTTTATAAGTATGAGAGAGAGATGGAGCACTAGAACGCCCAACACTTCTTACATACAATCGCATTTGCTGCAAACAAAGTTTGGCAATGTGGCATAAGGAGAACGGTATTGAAATTTTATTCATAACATTTCAGGTAGGAACTAGGAAGGGCGATGTTAAATAGCGATCTATTGTTTACACAGCGTAGCT